TCGGATATATAATATATGACTGGTTCAGACCAAACACTGAAAAATTGAATTGAAGAATTGATATTTTCACCTTAAATGTAATTTTAAATGATATAATCAGATAGAAATAAATGAGAGTTATCCCGACATAAAGCGGCAGGGTACCCTGGACCTGGCGTCTTTGATAAGGAGGATTTTTACTGATGTGAGTGCTATGTGCCTGTGTCTGTTCAGTAAAGCTCAAAGTCTATGAACACCTCTGACTTCCATGATTGTCAGTCCTAGACGCCAGTATCAGGGAGGCTGTTGGGAGGTCTTAGATTTTCTTTCCAGAATACTCTGCAGCTCCGAATCAGTTTAAAAATGAGCCCACAGTCCTATTCACCAGCAGCCCCCCTCTGTGCAGAGTGCTTTTGGTACAGCTGCTTCAACCCTCTTCAATAAGCCAGACGCAATTTTCACCCGCATAACTTGTTTTATCTTGTGATGAATATGGAACAGGGCAATTATAGGTAATTACGCCAACAATAGCAACAAAGGCAGCAAACACACACATTCATTCAGCATGTTTGCGGATCTTGCAGAGGTAGCCTCTTCGCAGCAGCACCCCACAACCCCATGCAACATTATAAGCTGTGAATTTGTTTGGGTTAATGTTAAAAGTGAATGAGGAGGAGTGTGAAGGGAAAGGCTGTTGTTTTATCTGTCTTCATTACGACCATTTGTCTTTAAGGTTTGAAAGTTTTAACACTGACCAGAAAAAGCAGACCTCTGACTAAAGGTAATAAACTGGTAATATGTATTCTGACTAAAGGTAATAAAAGTCCGCTTCTCACTTTTTACATGTGCACGTCCCTTCAGATGGACATGTGTCAATATCAATGAATATCAGTTTTGAAGACCAATCAGTCCCAAGTCAAGTCCTGAGCCAAGAGCAACAAATCCCAAAGTTATTGTTGAGCTGCTGTAGAAGGAACTTTCCCCTCATGATGAATGATGCCTGGTAACAGACGTTTACTAATCAGCAAACTAGCTTTACTGTCTTTTAAATAACTATTGAATCTAGCAATTAAAGATGCAAGAAATTTGATGTTTCCAAAATAACTTGTACCAACCATTTCATAACTCTCAGCCTCAACATGTTTACGTTGGCGGAGCTGCTTGGCGACTGACTTCGGCAGCATTTGGTGCAGCAGATCTTCCGCCAGCTGCCTCTGGCGCTTCAGGTCCTCAGTCTTCTCCTTCAAGCTCTGAGCGTAGTTCTGTATCCACTCGGTCATCTGCTTGAAAGAGAACATGACCACCGGGTAGATGAGGCAGGCAATGAACAGCAGGCAGATCCTCATACTGAGGCCCGAAGACACAGATCGAGACGCCAACCTGAGAGCTGGCACTGCACTATCAAACAAGCACTTCTGAGTGTTTGTCAGAGCTTGAATTCCAATGTGAGACCCGGACAGAAGCGCTGATCCTGCTCCGGAGATGTACCACAAACTTGTGTCAAGAATATAAGAATGTCTTAAATCCTGGCTGAAGTTCAACTTGAGGTCTATGTTCTCTAACCAGCAGTCGTTCAGTTGATCTGTCATAATCTTGACAAAGCCAAGGTAGCTTAGTATGTAAGTCCACTTGCACTGGAAGTCCGTATGAGTTGCTATGTGGGGGAAGTCCATCAACTGGTGGTTGAGCTCTATGAATGTTACCAGAAGTCTTGCGGACAGAACATCTCTCCAATTAGCATTCTGTTTGACTTTGACAACAGTATCTTCTACCGTACCCCAGATGTCAAGAAGTCTTCCAATGACCAAGGAGAGAGCTGAAGCACTTGTGCTGTTTGTATCCAGGGAAGCATTTAGAAATCCTTGAACGCTTCTCCTCACCTCCTGGCAAAATCCAGTCAACTCAACACTGCAAGGGAGCCCATAGCTGTTACTCTGAGCTGCCATTTCACCACAGAGATGACCAAACACAGGAAACACAACCTCTGAGAAACTAGCTTCCAGTGTCTCGTTGCCTGTGTGTTTGGCAAATAAATGTCTCATCTTCTGAAGCTTACTGACGAGTTGCAGGATAGCGATCGTCCTGCATGAAGTCAGCTCATCATAGGCGGCCTCCGTAGTGTGCAGCAATTCAAAGTTGGAACTGAGGTCAATGGACACAGAGCCGAGCAGGGCCAGGAAAGAGAGGAGGCAGGCGGTCAGGATTCGACGAACAGAGCGACTGCTACCGGTCAGAGAAAATATGGAGCACCTGGAACACAGGAACACAGCTGTGAGTTACTGAAGGGGGGCTACGGGTTCAGTAGGCTCCATACCAACCAATTCATACAAATGTGTCGTCCAAACATGTCTGAAGGCAAAACTGTATCCTTTCTCACCTCCACACCTGGCCTGGTAAACTGCTGTATGAAGTGGACATGTGTGCTGAATTGTTGGTTGTGGAAAGTTACAAAAAAAAATGTCAGATGCAGATCAGAGCCTCTCCTCTGACTGACTGACTGTTTTCTGAGTTATCAAATAAAAATATAGCAGATTTCAGGTAAACACTTAGAGAAACCATATTGTGCAACGTTGGACGGTGGGTGGGGCTTGGGGCATGGTTGAGAGCAGTGACTGCTACCTTGTGACATCACAAAGTTACAGAAGTCCTGACGGCTCATTTTAAGGCTCAGTTTCTGAATACAGGCTGTGAGCATTTCTCTGTGGACTAAGCGCTTTGATACTTTCACAGTATCAATATAGAATCTAGACCTGCTTTATAATAAAAAAAGACATGGAAATCTCACGTTATGGGTCTGAACTGCAATTATTAATTGTTATGCATTTAAAGAAGAATATTTTTTCAGAATCAGTGCATTAGCCTTTTGGAAATAACAAAATAAAAAACGACAAAATAAACACAGTTAACAATTACAATAAATGTGCATTTGACATCAGTGATCATTTGTCAGCCAAATTAAAACACTGGTGTCAGTGGTGGCGGTGTGAAAAGGAGGATGTGATCCTGACATGAGGAGGGTGTCTGTGTCTGTCTAAACCATCCTGGTCTCACTACTGAGACAAATCAAAGCTCAACCAACAGCTGAACCAGTTTCTGAGGTTTAACCCCTTTAATTCAAACTTTGTGGGAGAGTTGTGTGTGTGTTTCACCTGCACAGCTGACAATCGCTGTCCGCATCCTGCTGCCCCCCCGGAGCGACCCTCCTCTTCTTTATGAACCTTCTTTTGAAAGAAGCCGAGGACCGGGTCCCAGATGCGAAACACTCTTTTTTCATCAAGTCCAGCGATGACATGAGACTCGTGCTGCAGTTAGTGGATTACCTCAGACGGTGGCCCCACAGGACAGAGTCACTGCAGCGGCAGGACCGCACTGAACAGATGTCCCGTTTGTGGAAGTAACAAGTCAGCGGCAACGTCCTCTCAACTTCCGGTTAGAAACTTCAAAATAAAACTTTTTTAGTGTCGATTAATTATAATAGGCCAGGAAATCGGCCAATTTGGTGCCTGAAAACACTGATAACACAAATCAGTAACTTTTTATAACTGACTTTCACTTCAACACTGTACACTGTATGGAATAAATCAAATGCAGTTTAAAACCACTGAACAGCATGACATTTGACTCACCTGTAAAGACAGGGCTCCCCAAAATATTTTATACAGTTTTTATTTGGATAAGCAACGTCTATCCTAAAAAGGGCGCATGGTTGGGGGGTGGGGGGCTAACTTGCCTCCAGTGGGACATGCGCCCAGCCAGCAAGCTGGCTGCTGGGACTGAATAAATATATGTTTTTCTTCATGGAAAAATGTAAGAGAGAAAGATATGCATTCGATATTTTGAAATCTTCGGTTTATGATCAGAAATATTAAAACTCTTTTTGTTTTATATTTTTCTTTGAGTGAAGGACATTTTCAGGGATAGGTGATTGGAGCTGAGAGAGTGAAAGAAGAAGAAGAGGGGAAAATGAGAACAGAGTGATCAGGAATAGATCAAATAAAATACTGTTCGATAATATTACAGTACATGTGCATATTGTTTATCCTATGATGCTATTCCTTAAAGAATTTTTTTCGCTCTTGCCACTTTCAACCTGAATGTATGTTAATTTGCGAAATATTCCCCCGAACCACAGATCGTTCAAGTAACATTCCGCCAACCGTATAATTTACCGGAAATAAACGTTCTGGGAATGTTAAGAAAATTATGAACTGAAAATTGTTTGCCCGTGCCCTCAGTTTGGACTTTGTATTTCGCTCCAAAAAACTTCGTCTCCTTATCCCGGGGTACCCAGACATGGAAGTGTGTCCTGTTGTGACTGCTGCGATGTCATCATCTACTATAACTGCTGCTGTTGCTACTAGCCTGGTACAAATGCACTAGTGTAAAGTTAACCAACAGAACTAAGACACTGGCCTTCAGAATAAATACGTGACTTGACGAGAAGGAGCTGGCTGCATGGGTCAGTTTAAGAAGGAAATAAAATTCTCTACACTTCATCTACAGCGAATGGAATTAAAGTGAGAGTTAATTTCTGACATCGAAACAGTAGATTAATTAAAAAGAAGAAAAGCAAAATCTTATTTTCAGCCTTTTCCAAGCTTTCAATCGGATCTCACGGTCGTCATGACAACTGAGCAAATTCCATGCACTATAAGAGCTGCAGTTTAACGCTCCGGAAAAAGTCAAGCAATGGTCTAGCAATGAGTCCGAGGTTAAGAATAACCTGTAATGCTTAACAACCCCAAACTGAAACGTCAACAATATTAACTGTTTCACTATAAAATGCTTTTGCAAACACGTTGCAACAAAGAAACAAACAGTTATAAAGGCTTTAATTTTGAAGGTTCTTTCCGGAAGTACTTCGCATAAATGTCTCTAGCTTGGGCATCAAGTACACACGAACACACACACACACGCACGCAAGCACACACACGCACACGCACACACTAAGGGGACTGTAGGTTATGTAGTTCGAATAAGGAGAAAGCCGAAACATAGTGAGGATATGAATCAGTCTCTAACTTTGCGTGTCCTCGTGTAACGGGGTGGGCCCGCGCCTCGTTTAGCTGCTTAAATATTTGTCTGTGTTACAAGTGGCGGACTGGCTCCTTGCCGTTTTGGCGGAGGGAGTGGAAGCAAATGAAAGCGTTGTTTGGAGCCGTTGAACAAAGAGCTTTTCTTCCCTCTACCATTGTTACCGAGCGGAGCGCCTGTTTTCTAACTGATTCAGAGGTGGTTTCACACTGTAAAAGTAAGCTAACTGCTCTGAAGTTGATCTGTTTTTAAAAAAAGGGGTCGTGAAAACGTTGGTTTTAATGCTGTGTAGTTTAATTCATTCACACAAGCAACTAACAATTCCCTTTAACCACTGGCTAGATTTGATACAAGGCTAACTGTAACTTTACGCAACGTTGATATTGGCAGATGACTATGGTACTGAATGGTGTTGGTGTCCATAACTTCCACTTAAATGTTATTTCAGTTTAATCGGAAACAGGAAAACTGGGAAATTTTATCTAGTTATTAGCGAGTCAGGATTGAACTGGTTTATTAACGCCGTGTAAGTTAGCTAGCTTGTTATAAGTCTGTAAAGCAAGTCAGCTAGTTTGCTAAAAGTCACTACTGCGTGTAGCAAACATTGATTCAACCGTTTCTGCTTCAATAATCATAGCTCAATATGAAGCTGATGGGTCTCCATAACAACAACGTTCGCTCCACTCCACGTTAGCCTCACGCGCTGCTTGTGTGTGTGTAGTGATTGTCATTCTGAATGTGTTGCTTATTGCAACAAAAATACATCACGACATACGAGGGAAAACGGGTTGTGACACATTGGGACCTACTCTTTACATAGGCACTCATTAAAACTCCTTGTCGAACTGACTCTATCTGTATGCAACTCATTGCTAGAAGATTGTCGAAGAAATAAAGTTTAGGAATGACAAAAGTGGACATTTAATCAGTAAAGGGCTGCTTTAATGGATGCCAAATCCAACAGTGAAACCTAAGAAATAAAAATAAAAATTTTCATATGACAAACAAAATGATAGTAACACTGTGCATGTGTACTTTTGCCAAAACACTGAGCAACATTAAGGTGCCATATTTGAATCATTTGACATTGATCAGCAGTTATTAGGGGGCAGGTCCCAGCTCCAGACTTGATGAGTTTGCCATGCTGCTTGTGTTGACAGGTGAGGGGCGGCCTGTGCTCCAGTCATGACCTCTGGGAATGGGAACACTAACAGCAGCCAACACAATGGAGAGAGCAAACCAGCCCAGGCCCTAGTCAAGACCCATATCCTCACCCATCTGATAGAAGGCTTTGTCATTCAGGAAGGTGCTGAGCCTTTTCCTGTGAGTACCACTGTCACACACACACACACACACACACACACACACACACACACACACACACACACAGAATAAAGTCATTGTATGATAGTCAGTAGTCAAAGATCTGGGACTTGACTGTCCAACTCAAAAACAGACGTATTTATTTTACTTATTAACTAACAGAGTGTACCTGTGGATCTTCATATTTACTGTTGTTCAACTCTGATGTAATTGATCTGCAGTATCCCTAAACATTAACTGGCATCATGGGTTGAAAGGACAGAAATAATCTCTGCACTCCTGTTTGATGTTTCGTCTCTGAGCAATTACAAGTCTAACACTGTATATCCACTAGCATCAGCCTGCAGCTCGAAGCGTTGATCACAGAGTGATCTTCAGACCTTCAGACAAGGTTATGTTAGAACTATCCTCCATCTTCCAGTACTTTACATCATATAACATCAAGAGCTCCGACCAGATTCTGGAGCTTCTTGCCAATTCTGCTCTCTGACCTTACCAGGGAGTTTCCTTCTTGGGATAGTGGACATTTCCACCCATGACTTTTGTGATTTGTGCAGTTTAAGACATGAAACAAATTTTCATGTTAACCTACTCTTAAGCTCTCAGTCTTTTTGGTTTGTTCTCTCCCTTCATGTTGCTTGGAAACCTGTCAATAGTTTTTTTTGTATCCGAATAGTTTCAGAAACTATCAAACTAAAGGAACAAAACTTGAGATCTAAATAAGGAATTTAGGCTTTGTGCACACTGATAGGTTTTCATTTTAAAACAAAAACGGTCTCCGCACTCATTTAAACAGGAAGCAGATTCTCCACTCTACAGTTGGTTAGTTGCAGAAAATACTACGAACAGTAAAGACATTTGTGGCATTAAAATTCAGAATTTAATTGCACAACAGCTGCTAGCAAAGACAACAAGGTCAGTAACACTTGTAATTCGTCATCTATGTTGCAATCACCACTGGTAGTCATAACCAGTAAGACCCAATCAGGAGGCAGTCGTGTGTGTCTGCATCATTGTTTCCAAAAGTCTCCATTGCAGGGGCTCAAAAACTCCAGAGTAATGTGGACGCTAGGTGTGAACGTAGCAAAAGAAATGTGTGTTAACACTGAAATGTTGTAGTGTGGATGGAGCCTTAATGTCCCTGTGACACGTTGTTGTCTGTGTTTCCACCTAATGTGAAGAACCATGAAGATCAGGCAAACTGTTTTCCGTCCATTTTCCACATTCGACTGTTCAGTTCAAGCAAGGAGCCGGAGCATACTGGTACACTGTGTTGTAATATCTGCTGTAGTAATGTCTGTATTTTCTGTCTGCAGGTAGAACGTCCATCTTTCTCAATCGAGAGCCTTAGGAGACACACAGTAGACTCAAAGATGGACGGCCTCTCACCAAAGGGTATAGTTCTCAGACCAGTAGCACAGCTTCATGGTTTCTTTCTCAGATTATGGTGCACATGGGGGATCCCAACACGTTCCAAGGCCAGAGAGAATATATCATTCCTGCAGTGTGTTCTGGGTCAAATGACAAATTAAATGTTACTGCTTTTGGTCTTTTAACAATGAGAATCTTTCTTTCTGTCTTTTTGCCCACAGTTTCTCAAACTACGCCTACATTAAAATTTCTTCACTCTGAAACGTCTTGGTCATGATCCAGATAACAGGGTTGGGCAGTAGTACAGTATCCTGGGGTGTTTGAAAATAGCAACGTTGTTTGTTTCATTACCGTCATGAAGAAATTCTGCTGCACAGTGTGTGCATATACAGGCTATAATAAACACATGAAAGGTCCCATATTTTACACTTTTCCTGTGTTTTATTTGAAGTTTTGATCCATAAGAATATATATCACAACCATCCCAATGTAGTTCTACATCTCTTCTCTCAGGCTTCTCTCAGGACAGTTTAGATTGTGGGGGACCACCGTCGAGGTAATTAATGGGAAACACTGAATGAACACAATAACATGTTAAAAACATCAATGTAATGAAAGCTGGAACATCCCAGTTGAAGTGCACTGCAACCATCCTGTGGACGGAAACATTATAGCAGCGATTGGCGGATTTTTAATCAGCTGGTAATACAAATGTAGGGAATTTGGTTTAACGTTATCAAAGGTTTAAGTGTGTCATAAACTGGATACTGGTCTTGGATACAGCCCAAACCCACCACAGAACTGCACTTGTTGCTCAGACGACGGAACCAGATTCATTTTAAGCAGCTTCGATGAAACAGAAAACCCAGACTGTCATGTCTGACTGTCAGTATAATCATTATATTAATTAGAATTATAATCTGGATATCTTGCACAACATATGTTTTCTGTGGATATTGTTGGTGACCTTCACTGTGTCCAGCTGACTGTGTGTTGACTGTGTCCCCTCAGAGTTAAAGGCCCAGCAGGAGCCCATGCTGACCTGTGAGCTGTGTGGCAGGGTGGATTTTGCCTACATCTTCAAAAGGTCTAAGAGGTTCTGTTCTACAGTGTGTGCCAAACGGTAAGGAAAGGCTTCATTAGATTAATTTCCACATTTCACCCTATGGTGGTAATTAGGGCTGTTCCTGGTTCAAAACTATTCAGCTGATCAACTTCTATTATCAATATATTATGAATAAAAGTATGACCACCATCTAATTATTTACAATAATCCAATTATTAATGTTATAAATGTACTAATTCATTGTCAACAACACACCTACATGTATAAAAAACAAAAACAAGAAAACATTTTACACACAAACTAAAATTTTATTGAGCATGAAAATAATGAACATATAAGACATTATCTGTAAGTCTGGATTATTAGCCTGCTCACTACAGAAGTGCACCAAAGTAGACTAAACACAAATGACTCAGTAAACCTCCTTGGTGCGGGTCTCCATTTTCTATTTAGTCAATTTAGATGACAATTAATCAGAACAGGCTCGTGGGATCATTTCAGTATCGGTATTGAGATATTTAGATAGGTATTGCACGAACACTGGCTCCTACACATGTTTCTTCCACATCTGGATAACACAATTTTCACATTCTATGACTTTTCCAGGTTTTTCATGACTGTGCAGACCTGGCCCTTCTGATATAATATAAGAATATGAAAAAATAAATACTAGATCGATAGATAGATAAAACTAGATCTGAATGCAGGCATTAACAGCGCCCAAGCCCCTGTGCAATTCGCCCCAATCATGGCTATGCAAGTCTCAGTTTGAGCGCAGCACAGACAAGCGTTACCCTTTCTAAAGGGGTCCTCCAGAAAGCGTGGTTAACCTAGCCTGGAATTAACTCTGGACTTGGGGTTGAGTGAACCTGTTGCTACCAGACAGAGACCTTTCAGAGGCACAAACCCGTGCAATAATGTGTAAACATGGAGATCGCACTGTTCTGGAGCTGGATGTGAAAATAAACAATAATAAGATTCATTCATCAAGCCAATCTCTTTTAGCTTCACCTCACTCAGTTGACTTGATTTACAGCTACAACGTGGGATGCACCAAGAGAATGGGTCTCTTCCCAAACCGCAAAACCACCCTGGAGAACATGAAGAAACAGAGAGCACTGAACGGAAACCTCAAAAACTCCAGTTTAGAGTCTAAAAAGAAGGTGAGACAATTCATTTATACTGGTTATTTGTGCAAGAATTCCTTATCTTCCTTATCTAGTGAAGAATAACTGGCTTCTTTATGTAACAGACAAACCTGCAGCCTTTTGAAATCAAGTCAATATGTATCTAGTGTGTATTCTCTATCTGACTTATAGCTTTTGCATCATGTCAGAGGCAGATATTGTTAATATCAAGTGTTGTATTTTAACCTCTCTTTGCAGAAGCCTGCTGCTGCTGCTCTGTCCACTGGTCACTCTGTCCACCCTGCACAGGGAGAGTCCAGCCAATGTTCAGACTTGTCCGGCTACAAAAACCCCCCTTCCCCCCTGTCAGCCACCCAGCGGGTCCCTGCGGTGCAAGGCTCTGAGCTGCCCCTGCTGCCCCACAGCTTCCTGCCCAGTGACCCGGGCCAGTGGAACATAGAGGACGTCTACGAGTTCATCTCCTCTCTGCCAGGTGGCCGCCAGCTCAGTCACAGTGTTGTTTGTCCACGTGTTGTGTATATTTTTACTGGCACCTGAGCCTTTCATAGTGACGGTGAAGAGGTGACAGGGAATGGAGGGATGCAACAAAGATCCCTGACTGGACTCAAAGCTGCTGTTACATGATCAGTGTCTGTAAATACCCAGATGACCTGCTGCCCCAGAGTTTCTTACTATAACAAATATGAACTGTTTTGTTTCACATGAGAGATTTCTGGTTCAGTGTTTTTCTCTGCGCTCTTCCCCTTGGTTTGAAGTGGGTGGGATTCACATGGGAAATGGTGATGTCACGTAGTACCACACACCAATCAGGATTCAGCAAAGTTTGAATCAAAATCTTTACAGTGACCATTCACAGTCCAGACATATGCTAGGTTTTGACCTGGAAAGAAAATTCTGTTGAAAAATAATTGTAATTAGCCATGATGGTGATTATCTTGAGGTTTCTCTGCAGAGCTGAATGTTGTCGTGTTGTGACTGCAGGTTGTCTGGAGATCGCTGAGGAGTTCCGCTCTCAGGAGATCGATGGACAGGCCCTGCTGCTGCTGAAGGAGGACCACCTGATGGGAACCATGAACATCAAACTGGGCCCTGCACTCAAGATCTTTGCCCAGATTAGCATGCTCAAAGACTCATAGCCCATCTTAGTCCTCACTCTCACACACACACACACACGCGCGCGCGCACACACACACACACTCACATACACACACACTGCTCTCAAAGGCAGCTCTGGACAAACAGGATGTGCTCAGGATCCCACATGCCGACTGACTCTGAGTTTAGTTCTGGTCCAGTACTTGACACTGGACCAGAGTTGTTTGATGGGTGTTTTTCCTGCTGAACACAAGGACATCAGCCCGGACTGTTTGACTCCCCTGATACTCTGATAACTTCACCCCAGCACCACCTCAACAAAACTTCACCCCATAGTTTGACAGGAGTGGTGTGTTAGGTAGTCTATGATGGAAAAGTGTTTCACTGACAACATGCTTTTGTTTTCATCATGTATAAATGTTCCTTTGGTTCCTGCAGGTTCCCGGTTAGCAGAAGTGTGACTGTTGTCTCTGTGAACTCTGGACATTTCAGTCACTGGTGCTCATCAAGTTAATTACAGGGAAAATACAGAAACTACAAGCTCACTGGATGGTAGGAAACTTTAGCTCCATAAAGGTGGAAAAATGACATCAGGCAGGTTTTTCTTTTTTCAATTTTTACAGGGAATAAGAAAAGTCTCTTTCATTAGACTCAGCACAAACCATGTAAAATCAAACATTTTATATTATTACATTTGATTCATTTTATTAGTGTGTCTTCCAGCCACCAGTGGCAGCTCTGAGGTCACTGCTGCTGAGCTTCAGTTCATGAGTGAAGCACAAACTATCTTTGATCATGATGCGTTTCCGCTTCAGTGGAGGAGACTTTTCTCTGTCATGTATTTATTGTGCATAAAAGTTCATCTTGGCCATGGACGTAGTAGCTCCCACTTAGTAGCCTTTTCCTGAGCTTTTTCCACCAGATCCCAGGGTCTTCATCAGTGGATTTCTGTGACTTTGTGTTTTGTTTGTTTTGATGTGCTCAGTGGCTGAACTGGTAGAGGTCCAGGAGATGGCGATGCAGGACAGGGATGTGTAGTATGACAGTCCTGGGTCATTCAGAGTGTGTTTAGCACAGAGACTGGAAGTAATGAGACTGTCGGCCTGACTCCCATCAGCAGGTAGAAGAATCCAACACCTTAAAAGTCATGTATGTAATGACTCTGACATCTTAGTTTGGAGTCATTATTAACCAACAAGACAGTTTTGTTGAAATTAATGGAACTTTTTCATTTACAGACCAGTTTTTCTCTGCTTCCAGTCTTTGTCCTCAGCTGGACTGAAGACGTCTCTACTGAGACACAGAGACCAGGCCCAGGAGGAAGGTGGTTCCCTTCTGACTCTGACACGGCTCACAACCCTCGATTGACTGGTCAGATACTCTAGTTGTAATCAAGAAATAGCTAAAGGACCATTGGTCTGAAGACAGATGTTGATTATTTTCATTTAGTTTAATTCAGTACAATCACACTGACTCAAAAAACCTCATCAGAAAAATATTTGTTTCCTGGTTGAGGATGGTTTTTACTTCTGTGTCACGGTGTTTCTGTTCAGGGCTAGACACAGGAAACGTAATGTGATCCACTGCAGCTGCTGAGTCATTTCACTCATGTTTGTGTAGTCTGTGTGGACACTGTGCTATAGTTTACTAGAAGCTGATTCGGTGCAGTGACTATGTCCACCCAATATCTTTTTAGGTCTCTTGTATTTTCTCCTCCATGTTTCATTGATTAGCTTGTTTTCATCTCACAAAGCCATGTTGATGCAGACTCTCTGTTCACAGGTGCAGCTCTGTATCAGAAAACAATGGATGCAAACATGACCTGTCGTATGTTCCACAGTGATCAGGTAGCGTCTATGCACACAGGAAACCACTGCCATAAGTGCCTCTGGTGACATGTTGACGCCCAAGTATAATTCAGACATGAAAAACTGACGAAAGAGAAAGCTGTGGATGCTTTACGTCATTTCATAACTTTACCAAAGTCAAGTGAATGTTACTGCTTAAGTGCTGTCACATGCTGAAGCTGAGGTGAGCCACAGTGATGATGGACTAGGTTCTTACTGCAGATGTTTGAGAAGTTGTTTTCCAAAGTATCTTTTTCTGTTTTTGAGAAAAAAAGCTGCAACTCATGAATCAAGATCATAAACACAGAGGCGCCCGTTTCACTACAAATCCCTTCAGAGCTTTGAGTAGTTGTACTGTAAAATTTCCATGATCTGTTTGTGGCAGAGTCGACTGTGATTCACTAGTCAACACTCGGTTCATAATCTGCTCCACAGTCGCACTGTGAGCACAGGTGGTGTTTGTTAAAAGAAATAAAACTGGTTTCTTTAGTGGGAGCTGCAATGCAGTTGTGATTGGCTCATGACTGTGACATCACAAATCTGTACACAAGACACAATCTTAAAACATCTGTGTCCTGGTACTGACAGATGTTTAGTATAGTTAGTGGTAGACACTGTTTTTGTCCTTCAAACTTTTCTTTTTTTCTTTTTACAGAAATTCACATTTTCTAGCTCAAAAATAAACCATTAGATAAATTGAACTGACTTTCAAACTTTGTTCATCCTTGTCTGAATAGTCGCTTTAAATTGATCCATTTTTTAAATGATAAGAATTAAACATTGTAGTCTAGTTTAATTATTCCAGACTTCATACATTTAAATTACATTTCCTCTGACAAAATGTTGCATAAACCCAGACATATATCAGACAACATAATTATGCAGTTTCTCACAATTATTGTGATTTATTTAACATAAGAATTCCACATGATCACCAATCATTCAAGTACAATCCCATCAGATAATGAGCTCAATAAATTAACTTCTTCCATTAATGTCTTCATTAAGGCACCGTCAGTAGTTCACATGAAAAACAGTGACTGAATAAACCCACAGCCAGAACAATCCTCAAATATTCTGAATCTGAGACAACACATAAATCATAAATAGACATGAAAAAGAAAACGTCTCGAACACATAATGTGTACCTTATTAATATTTACTTCTTGTACTATAAAATTAACTTGGTGTGTCAGAATAAGAATATGTTGAACAGCCAGTATGAATTAATAACTGTCATTTACATTATATATACATTTAGATGTAAACGCATTTTATGAAGACAGTTGTGTTTTGAAGGTCACGCAACATTTGCCCCAAATCAAAAAGTGTAACTTTGATCATAACATATGGTGACTTCTGGATTAAAACTTTGAAGTGGGTATTCAGCCCTTGATAGCCTATTGAAAAGACCTGCTGTGACATCCCTGACTGGGGTGTGACCATAAGTGCAACATGCTTGAATCATTATAAGAAAAACGGCCCTTCGTCTCATTATCTACAAACAAAACCTGAACCATCACAACAATCTGAAAAATGTGAAAATCACTTCAAACAATCAGAACAAATCTAAGTTTAGCCAAAACTTAACTAAGCTCAAAAACAATTTGTTCCATTTCACCTGCTGGAAATCTGCAACAGTTCCCACTGCACCGCCCTGCAGGTGACAGTGTGCACAGCTGTGGTGTCTGTTGGCTGTGAGATTAAAACCTCAGGCTGAGAAGCTTTCTGCACACATCTGGGTTATGTTGTAGGTGTTATATCAACAGTGTTTTCACACAGCCATTAACATGGTGGTTTTCAGCCACATTTCCATGGATACCGCTGTCACTCCGTCAGTAAGGCCTCCACTTTGATCCAGACTGAAACTACTACTACAGGGATCATTATATAATGTTATATAGACATTAATAGTGCTAATTATCACACGTTCGCATGCTCAGAGGGTCGGTGTAATAAACATAATTGTGAGCATGTGCTGCTCTACCTGCCTCTGCCTCACAGAGCTGCTGCGCCTGGTCGTATACAACAAAACCCATCGTCATTATTTCAACTTCTTCCATCTTGTCTTTCATTCAATCTGGGGGGTGTTGGGGTTACATCGAGTTAGAGGAGTGCCATGCTGAATAGGTGGAGTACCCTAAAATCTTAGGTAAAGTGACTGTGGTTCCCTCTGTTTATATTTTGTACATGTACAAACTTCAAGATGCAGCCGGTTTAACAGGAAATTCTGCTATGTTGCTTTTGCTTTATTAATTATGTAATTTTTAAACGTTAACTGGTTCCAATTTTTGAAATGTGAATATTTGCTGTTTTTAACCCTATGTGATATTAAACTCAGTATCTCCTGGTTTTAAAGTAACGTAGAGTCCAGACGCAGGTATTTCAACAGTTACACATTGTTCGTCAGCTTCGCTTCAGCACATTCAATGTGAAATGAAATAATGGAGATTACATTAAAGTGCAATGTCACAGCTTTAATTTGAGCAGGATTACATTATAGAAAGAAATGTGTGAGAGAGAACTTTTTAACACATAGTGACCAAAGTTCAGTGGTTTAAAAGTAATTGGACAGATACACAATCAAAACCATCAAATTTAATATTTTGTGATTGCCTGAAGTCTCTTTGGTTTCTTCTGCTGTTTGTTTGAGATCATTGTCCTGCTGAATGGTGAAGTGTGGTCTGATACATTTCTCTGATTGGATCCACAGACTGCTCCTGTAGACCTCTGTCTGCATCCTGCTGCGTCTGTCATCAGTGAAATCATCAGTAAATGACTGGAGTCGTAACAGAACCGCCATGTTTGACAGAAGAGGTGGAGGTGAGCTGTTCTTTTTCCTCCACACTTTCCTCTTTCCTTAATTTTGAATTTGTTTCATCAGTCTATAGACCTTGGTTGCACATCTCTACTGTTCCCGTTTGTGTGGTTTCTATGTTTGTAAATGATTTTCTTTGACCGGCTCATTTCACATTTTCTAGTTCTCCTGAACATTTTCAGGAAGTACGCAAACCTTTGATATCTCTGATAGTTTTGCTTTTGGCTTTACGCCTCATACCGTCAGATCACTGCATCACAATCAGCTCTGAGCCAACAACCAACATGTATTAACCAAGTGTCCTTTACTTTTCAACCCCTACAATTTGGGCACTACGTGTTATTTCAAATTGAACGTGCTGTAGCGCACCTACACAAAATGTAACTGTTGAAATACTTACAGATTAGACTGTGTAGACACACGTGCTTCTCTGTCTTCTCATCAACACATCTTTGAGCTGTGTCGCTCCACAGCAGACGTCATTCCCTCTGAAATCAGTAAGTTATTAAAGCTGAAACGCGTCGAGAGCACAGCACTGCAGTGTTCAAGCAGCAGTCCTGGTGTCGCAGCAGCAATCCTCAGCTTTGCTGGCGACCTGGTGAAGTCAGAGGGGGGGTCAAAACGGACGATTAGCTGGTAAACTGACTAACACTGACCCACAGTGCTTCCCAGGAGAAAACTATAGACGTGATCAGCATGAGAAATGTGTGACAGGTCAGTACTGAAGAGCCAAAGCCAAACCCACAGATTTCTTGTTAATTTAATTGAGTGATTCAATATAAAACATCATCAAAAGGCAGGAAGAAAAAGGAACAGCAGAAAAAGACTCGTGGCAGAGTGAGCACACAGTCCACGCTGATCAGAGACAAACACTTAGCCTGAAGCACAACCTCTGCTAACTGTCCAGCAGGTCAACTTCTGTAAGGAAGTCTGTAAACAAGCGGTCATTTCACGTGACAACGGATGTTATGGACTTTTAGCACCACCAGACTATACTCACTTCTACTTCATGCTTCTGTCATTAGCAGGATAATTTTGCTTTGGATCGATCCATGACAATCATCACTTAAAGGAACAGAAAGATTTATTCCGACTTTTTGGAGCTCTGGACAGATCAGAAAACAGACAGGTTGGAAACAAACCCACAGTTTCTCTGACAGATTATATCAGACTGATAACTGCTAATAAACCCTCATTGCACAGGGAAACTCTCTGTGGGTAATAAACTTAACAATCACCTTTGTTTTTTTCCCCCCCAAATAGCTTTGGCTCACGTGGAGGTTTGTTTAGACTCTGCCTGTTTTTCACAGCATCACTGTGTTCCCAGTCTTCAGCAGTCAACTTAGTGCAGTGTTATCATTATCATATGTACTGATGACCAGCCCTACAGAAACTCAATGCTAGCTGGAGTAAAGTCTTCCTGTAAAATAATCATTTAAATAGGACCATACCAGTGTTACAGCTCATTTACTACAAATCCTGTTCATGTAGTGTAATCATGCTTCTCTAGGTGCTGGAGCATTTGAGATTTAAGGTTACTGACTTGTTGTGTTCTCCTGTCCCTCAGGGAGTCAGTGGTTTCCATTATGTCAGTTCCAGTATAAAAAAGTCAGCTCAGTAGAAACGTCTTTTAGTTCAATTATCCATCACAGTAAAATTTAAAGCTCCCTCTTTTTCTGTCAAAGTTAAAGGCGCTCTTTGTAAGTTTTCTCTGTCAACTAACATGGTTTCTTGCCGGGAGCAGGTGGTGGTGATTGTTGCTTCACAAGAGCTTCAGCCATTGTTGCGTTTACAAGACAAGAGGTTATAATACGTCCCCTGAGCAGCTACGTCTTCTGGGCAGATTGGAGGCTACAATGAGTTGCTATTGGAAAGTGACAAGACTAGCTGGTTAGCATGCTAACTTCAGTAGAACAGAGATCGTGAAAGGGACGAGAGTGAACATCGCTGTTGTTTTCCACCTCTGGAAAAAAGGTCTGTTTACATTTATTTTGTGTGTGTGTGTGTGTGTGTGTGTGTGTGTGTGTGTGTGTGTGTGTGTGTGTGTGTGTGTCCTTGAGGTCCTGCAAACATGCTGAATCCATTTCAAAGCTGTTTTCCTTTAATATATTCAGATTTACATTGTTAACGTCCATGTTTACACTGGCCTGCAGTCTTCCTTTTCACTGTCGGCTCATTAACACCAACAAGCTGTTGCATCACCTGTGTCCTTGTGTGCGCACAAGATGCAAACACCACTGCTAGTGGTCAGAAGCTCCACAGGGTACTGTCTAAGAAGTCCAACAACTTACAAACGTAACTTTAACAAATAAAAGCAGACTTGATGTAATGGATTACATTACTGAAACAAGTCTCTGTGAACTGACTTTTATTCTCTGATTAACATTCCTGGTAAAACAACAAAATTATTACATTTTGGAAAAATTTCCTTCACTAAAGTAAAGAATATGTGATTTGCTGTAAATGCGAAAATACTGGTATGGTCCTTTAAAAAGTCAGAACAATGTGAATGATGTCACACAGTGGCCTTTACCTCAAGGTGAGCAAACAGGAGAAACACAGTAAAACCACAACCTCCTAATTTGAAAGAAAACTCTAAGTCTTGTGCTTGTTTTCTTCCACTGCGATCAACAAATGCTTTACATTCCACAATGGACATGAAGTGCCGCCGAACAGGTGGTGTGCTATAATGACGCCATAGACCAAATGCTTAACTGTAGCTTCTTGAATGAGGGCTACTATTCTACTGGTGCTTTCAGCTAAGATGGAATTCTTCATTGCTCTCAGTCTTTCAGAGGAAACAGCTGCAGTGAAAAATTTTATCAACTCCTTCAACACAGAACAAAAACTGTGGAATCATCTTTTGTGAGAGGGGGAAGGCGAGGTGTGTAAGGCTATTGTATCAACCCACTCCAAACATGTACAACCATGAGACGGGAAAATAAAATTCACTCAGAGAGGGTGAAAGTCAAAACTGAGAAACCAACCCATAGAGAGAGCGCCGATAGAGAGAGAAATCTTTGCCATCACACACAAGTCAAACAAAAAAAAAACCCAGCAGAGCAGATCAGTTTGTAGTTCTGTTTCCAGTTACCACGGTTTATACCTTGCTCCTGAAGAGAGGCTTAGCGCCGGGGCCACAGTACTCGTTGTATATGAGCTTGAAGAGGAAAAGGTGGAATAGAGTTATGAGCGAGGCCACGCTAAACCAGAACAGGAACGGCAGGCCCGGGTACCTGTTGGCCATGTGCTCCTCATGGGCCAGGATAGCCTTAAGGTGCAGGGTGTGTCGGAGGTCCTGCAGGTGGCGCAGGTCTGTGGAGATGTAAAGCAGCGGCGTGATGGGCTGAGTTACCATCACAGGGAAGGTGTGACCTTTGATCTCTGACGTCAGCTCCACAGGCTCGTTGAGGCAGCCGGCCTCGCAGGCGTACAGCTTCACCGGCTTCTCCTGAGGCTTCACCGACACATGGAGGAAAGGCTTCCCCTCCGTGTCCAGCAGAACCGCCAGGTTAATGAGATCCTGGTTGTAGTGGATCCCTCTCAGGGCGTAGCTGTTGTGCAGCACGTCTGGATCGGCCTGAAACTGAAGGTGGTTCTCTGTGAACTGAAGGCCGCCGAAGCTGAGCACCATACCCTGCATGGCTCCGTGGGCTCCTGCCGCCACCAGCACCTTGCAGCCCCTCTTCTGCAGAGTCAGAGTCCACAGTGTGACCAGCTGCAGGATCTGTGCCGCGCTGCTCACACGCTCGGGCCACAGGTTCTCTGCGTGCATGGTGGCGTGGCCGCTGAAGCAGTGGTCTGCGTAGTTCAGGCTGGACTCGAGACGAGCGCGCTCCTCGCCGCTCAGCCTCCGGTCCAGCAGAGGAGCCGTGGAGGAAGAGAGGATATAGTAGAGGGTGGTGTTCACTGTGCGGCTGGACGGTGTGTGGGAGTCAGTGATCTTCCTCATTTCAACACCTGAATAAACAGAACAGAAGCAGGGATTGATTACTCTGAATGACAAAGTTTGGAAACAGTAGTTCAACAAAACCACCCCAGCTTTTCCAGAACTTTTGATCATGATCACTTTACTGCTGTTTTATGTTATATCACAAACTGTTGTTTAGTGAGACTACCACAGTAAGACTCTCTATGTTGTACAAGTAGAGATATATCTACTTTTGCCCTGTTTAGCTCCTAGCTGAGGATATGTGCATTTCCAGACAGCAGGGCATTGAACTGACACACAGACAATGGCATAAAAACCAAACACAGACATCTTTACAGGCTGTGCAATGATTAAAAACAAACTTAACCTCCTGACAGAACACATGAGCAAGCGTGATCCATCATAAAATCCCTTCACTATCTCTCTTTATCACAGCAGTCAGCTGCATTTCACAGAATTGATTCACCACTGCTTTAAGAATCAATTAATCCGTCAGAATCAAAGTGTTTTACAGACCCTTTTTACAGGCATGTTTGCATTATTTTTCTTTGTATGACAATCAGCATGTAGAGACTTACATAGTTGCATGGTAATGCAGTGCAGTACTGTACAGTGTGTGGGGTCTGTAGTATAAGGACTAAAATCTATAAAACTTAACTGTTGCAGCCCGTTGCTGCTTCCACCTGAACTCACCTGAAATGAAGAGGTCCATCCAGGCTTGCTGGTGGTCTACAACCAGCTCATCGACACTGGCCCTAAGCAGCTCCCCCAATTCTTTTTTGGCTCCTTCTCTGAGGGTGCTGAAGGTCTCCTCCAGCTTGGACGGCTCAATGGGCTCTGAGGTCCACACCACTGACAGAATGTGTTCTGTGTGCTCTGATTTAGCAGAGACCTGAATCCTGCTGCTCAGCTTCTTGGTGACCACCACCACCAGAACCATCCGGTTGTTCTCCACAGGCACTCTGCCGGAGGAGAGCACTATCTCTCTGTCCTCCAGTTTCTCCACACTGGTGGAGAACTTGCTACCGAAGGAGGGATTGTCAGAGGAAACGTCCAGGGAGGCGGTCCTGTCAGATGGGTTGTTGATGTGGATTCTCTGGAGATACACGTTAGGTCTGCTCCTGTGCGCGATAAACTCCTCTCTGATGGTGACACAGTCCCGGGCTGACTGCAGAGCAGCTGGTGAAGCACAGCGCACCAACAGCACGGCTCCTTTCCGGAACCACAGCATGCTGGCCTGAGCCTCGGCCCGCTTCCCCTCCAGGTGGACGCCGACTCTCGGCGAATATTCAGTCTGGTGGACCGGAGCCGAGCCGGGCTGTGAAGACGACGCTACCCACAGTTTGTTAGAGTCAATGTCAATCAGAATATGGCCGTTACCTGATACAAAAGGTGTGTCTAGTTGTTCCTGAGGTGTGCTGTATATCCCCTCTCCTCGGTCTACGATAGACTTCCACCTATGGATCTCAGCCAGTAGGCACTGTCCAGCCGCCCCACCGGGCATGGCCGAGCCGCTGAAGAGCCTCCACCTGCGCTCCGCTCCCAGGTACCAGTAGAAGATGAGCAGGAGCAGCAGTCCGATGAGGAGTCTTCTTGCCCAGCTGCTTGATAACAAGCCCGGTAGCCCCTTCAGTCTCTGCTGTAGCCACATCGTGCGTTAAAGTTATGGAAGCCCAGCTACAAGTAAGTGTCTGCAGACTGCACCCAGGTGCGTAGGGTGAAAATTTGAAGATGTCACATGGAATTCAGGTCGCGCTCAAAACATGGTCCCACGATGAAAGCTGACAAACTGGCTTCGCAAGCTTCCGGCTAAGTTAGCTTAGCTAGGTAGCTAGGGCCGTGAACGAAAGCTGTCCAAAATGTGCTGTTGTTTCTCGCATCGTGGTTGTTGTCATATCCTTCGTCGGGTGTGTGTGGCAGTTATCAATGCGTCGTATCTCAGCTTCGTTGTTTTGTTTGTCCTCAGGTTAAATCGATTCACCTGTCTCCCCAAATAACTCTGCAACCAGCGGTTGACACTTCTGGTTTGTCACAACTGTCGTAAAGTAAAACGGCACAGCAGTGACCGGAAATGTCGCAAAACCAGTAACCTTATATACGTATAATTTATTTATTCAAATTGAAACAAATGCCATGTAGGAAAATTTGAAAACATATGTATAAAGGGATAATGTGTTAAAGTACTTTAATTAATTGATTAAATTTATTAATATAAATTATATTGTTGGAAGGGGAAAAATAACAATATCATTTCAAAGACTGACTTTCCCAAAACGGGCTTAAATACATTCAAAGACATTGCTTGGTATCAAAAAATAGTTTCTTACTGTAGGCTACTGAAAAACAGCCTTCTCTGACAAGTGTTTCCCTGCTGAGCTGCAGAGGAGGATCAGTAGCAAAAGGCAAATTTGGTACTAAAAAGGCTGTAACTTTGGCTGAAGCCTCATATTAGCTTCAGATAAACTTTGGAAAGCATTGCATGGTGCACACGTTTGTGCATAACCTCAAACCAACTAAACGCACAAGACAGTGGATGGTAAAGCAGAGGAGATGGGGTACATATACAAAGCAGAAAATTATGTGTGATTGAAATACTTAAAAAAGATATATAATATATGATAATATAAAATGTAAAACCACATATTCAAAAAATAGCAATAAACAAATAAATATAGCATTTGTGGATTTTAGTGAATGTTAATAGAATATGTTTGGACTGAAACTGTTTTGTAACTGTAACACTTTAGAAAATAACGGGACTTAATGCCTACACTGCTCTAGTGTTATAGTTGATGAAGTTTTGGTGCTCTGGTGGAGGGACCACGGGCTACGTGCAAGTGCTCATGTCCACAGAGCAGCTGGCTCATCGCTTTAAAACTGCTTTTTTTCTTCACATTTTGGAGGTGGGCGTTGTTTTAGCACTGGAACTCACTGCAACAGGCAAATGTGAATGATAAAAACCAAAACATAGAAAACTAAAAACTGTTTTACTACTTATTCTTCTATTGCAACTCTGATATTTGGTGGAACAATTCGTTTTACGAGAAAGTGAGAGAGAGAGAGAGTAAGAGAGAGAGAGAGAGGGGGAGAGACATAGACAAATAGTGGGTGAGGTGGGGGGCGGCGCAGCAGAGTTAACACAGTCCTGCAAACTTCTCTTTCTCAGACGGAACCAGCTGGAACATTTTACTCTTAGGCTCACGTCGGGACCTGTGAGAGGACTTCAGCTGTAACTGGAACTAAAAAGATGAGGTTTTCGTCCTTGCTGTTGTTTCCAGGGATTTTTCTCTGTGCACTTTCCCCACTGACAAAGTGTGAAGAGCAGCGACTCCCCGAAGGTAAGACAAGCATGCTAACGACAAGTCTGCACCCAGCCCACACTTTCCAGCCATTAATTCAACACAACACAAGTACAACATGTCTCAGTGCAGTTTTAAGGCTGAGGGTGAGTCCCCGGCTCATGTGGTCCCCACTCTGACTCTGTTATGGCCGAGCCCCTCGACTAAAATGTCCGGGACAACATTCCTCCACAATTCGGTTGAAAAATGATCAATTATCATCATTATTAGTCATTTAGCAGATAGAGCAGTGTGCTCCTGCAGGCCCTCCACTGAGGATTCAGTCATAGCCTCACCACAACACCGGGCAGTTAAAAAAAGCTGAGATTTAGTTGACAGCCGGATACACGCCGAATGGTAATATACCGTTCACAAAAGCTATTAGCTACGTTATCTTGTAAGTTATTTGTTTAATTTTTTTTTCCGACGTAAAAAAATGTTAAGAAAACTGAATGCAGTTTAACATTATGTTCCCTCTTTACGTGGGATAGAAAACTGCACGGAGGAGCTGTGGAGGACCTCCATGCCGCTGACGTGGACGGGCTGTCAGCGCTGCTAACACTATATTAACGTTAACGTTAGCTACATGCTAGGAGGCTACAGTAAAGTGTACTACCATGTTGAATTACGTCCAATATAGTCTGATAAAGAATAAAAATTAGACTTTTGAGACTTTCTTTATGTCTAATTATATATTTCTCCTCACTGCAAAACCCCGGGTATAGTCCGCAGGAAGTGTCCAACCTGATATGGTGAAATAACAGCAGTTATTTCCAGTTCAGTCTCGGTCAGCTTTTTTTAATATAAGGGAATGTCAGTGATATGAAACAGAGAAGAATAAAGAGGAAACAAAACAAGCAGATGATGATGAAAACTTGAGGTAAGAAAATAGTCAAAGTGTCAGATTCATTTCATTGAGATCAGATTTCAGAGCTGAATGAACTGAATTGAATGAATGAAGATACTTTTTCACCTTTCTGTACAAATAATCCTTGAGACAATCTGACCAAAGTGTTATCAGGAGCACATTATATGTGGTTTATGTTGTAAATTTACTGTTTGCCTCAGGAGCAGACCTTCCTGCAACAGACTGGACTGTGGAGAGACACTTAACTGAATCTGATTTTGTCATTTATTGAATTGAAAAATTAGTGAAGAAAATCAGCAGAAATATATATTTTCAACCTCCATCTAAAACCATATCAGAACCAGTGTTTCTTCTCAGATTATATAGTAGGTGACATGTGTCACATGTTATTATCACATTGACCAAATATACTGTACATTATAATCCCCCCTGTTAATAACTGATTATAACCCAGAGAAGACAGAAAATGTGAGAGAGATGGAACAAAGGTTTCTAGGCTGGACTCAAATGCCCACAGCCGGACCCTCAAGTGGAAATGTATGATCTCAACAAACAATTTGAACACATCTGTCATCAGCAAGGTTAAATAAGCATTCAGCAGCTTGCCAATTTACTTTTAGTAGTAGTAGTGTAAATTGTATTAATTGACATGTACAGGTGAACCCTCCATTGTAATTTAAAGGTCCCATATTTTACACTTTTTCTGTGTTTTATTTGAAGTGTTGATCCATAAGAAGATATATTTGTGGTTTTAAGCACCAAAGACCAACTCAGTGTAGTTTTACATCTCCTCTCTGAGGCTTCTCTCTGGAGCTCCAGCAACAACAGGTCGGTGAGCCAATCAGAAGAGAGGCCCTGCTTTATAATAAAAAAAAAGACATGGAAATCTCCCTTTATACAATATGGGACCTTTAATCTTAATGGTGATTAAAGCACCTGTGTTAAAATTTAGTTTTCTGATCATGGCTGATTATACGTGGTAACAGATACAGGGACTTTTCTGATGCTTATGATTTCAAGTTACAACTCATACTTTTTGGTTTGATTTCTGCTTAGTGACTGTATGTCAAGACTCCTGTCATGCACAATCAAGACACATCTCACAGAAACTGTCAGTTGTGGCTGTTCAAGTTTCTTGCTTCAGGCTGAAGACAAGATTTAAAAAAAAAAAAAAAAAGAAGTGTGTGGTGTCATCTTTCTGAATTCCTCTACAATGTTGTGTCTTCCAGAGAAACTTCTGGTCGTTACAGTTGCAACCAAAGAGACAGATGGCTTCAAGCGTTTCTTGAGCTCGGCTAAACACTTTAACTACACTGTCAAGGTAGGAATCCCAACGGGAAGATCTCGGTCAAAGTTCCTTTTCCTGCTGTCTTGCCATGAAAGCCTCTCTATCTGTTCTGTAAAAGAAAACAAATCCCTGCTTTAGCTCGACATAGTTTTTGCCTCAAAGTTTGTTATGTTTGAACCTTTTTTACTGCATCTGAGTCATAAAAATAAGACAGTGTTTTTTTTCCAAAAATAAAGTAAAACTTGGCAAGTAATGTAAGGTATTTTATTTTACTACCAGAAAAGGAGATTATTTGAGGATATTTACATTTTCTTCAAATTTCAGTAAATGCATGTTTGTATGTATATTCTAAGGTTCTTGGTCGGGGTCAGAAATGGAGAGGCGGCGACTACATGTCAGCTCCAGGAGGAGGCCAGAAAGTGCGACTCCTCAAAGGGGCTCTGGAGGAGATGAAGGATAACGACAAAATCATCCTTTTTATTGACAGGTAGAGTTTCAGATTTTACTGTCCCTGTCAGATATGATGTAACACCCTGGTACTTAAAGGTGCTATATGTAAGTTTTCTCTGCTGATAATATGGTTTCTTGAAAAGACCTTCAGCCATCGTTGTGTTTACAGGACAAGAGGTTAGAATATGTCCTCTGAGCAGCTGCTTCAGACTTGACACTACAGTGACTCACTATCAGTATTACAAGACAGGACGTACCAGGGCTACCTGGTTACCATGCTAACTTCAGTAGAACAAAATAATTAATAGAAATAAAAGGATCAGCCTCTGGTGAGGAAGTTAGGTAGCTGTGGCTTCATCCTGGTTGGTGGTGTAGGTGGTGACGGCGTAGAAGGGCGGCGATAATATCTATTCCCCTTGTTGGCTAGCTATCGGCCATGCTGAAAACAAGCCGGTTAATGTTAGCAGTAGTCCACTTGCAGCAGGTTGTCCTGACTGAGAGACAAAGCTTGAGATCCGAGTCTCTGATTATTAAAATCTTTGAAAATATGGGTCAAACAAGCAGGATAAAAAAGTGTTGCTTAAAACTGAATAAAAATGTCAAAACTGTCAATTTTTAGCAGAGCTTTTAGCATAAGTTATGTAGCAATAGCAAAAACCAACATATAGCCCCTTCAAAAGAGTTCTTACAAAACACTGTCCAGATCAGATCAGACGGGTGTAGATTTGTCAGTGTGTTTTTCCTGTCTTTCAGGCATTTTGCATGAACTTGTCAGCTTTTACCGCCGTCAGTGTTGAGGTTGTGTGGTTACACACTTGTATGTACAGGTTGAGTTTTTTTGCATTACCACACAACAATACAGTGACACTCGTGAGGGCAAGAATACTTAAGCAAGTGTTAACTGTATGAATGTGAAATATTTCGTTCTAAATGCAGTTGTTTGCATCACTATGTTGATCAGCTGTTCGTTCTGTAAATCAGACTGTGTGTGTTTGATGGCTGGTTTTGTAAAAATCATCTAAAGGAAAAGTTCAGTGTTTTGTATAATAAGTTTTGAGACTGAGGTCCATCATCTTGTCAGAGGTGGATGTTATAAATCCCCTTACTTCAATCGTTTTTTTTCAGTTCACTTAAAGATTTGTTTTCAATAAATACTTATGTACTTCTTTAAGCTAAACAATTGCACTACCTTCCAAATGCACCTTTGTCCACATATAAGTAAGAAATCTTGTCACAGTGCTGAATGATGTCTGGACTGTTTTCATTTCACTTCTGAGTCCAGTCCTGTTCAGACTGTTAGCTCAGCACAATATAAGCCTTGTTTATCGGAGTGTAACAGCTGTTAGTTAGTGATTGTTGCTGCCTTCAGTCTTTCAGTAAATGTATTACCAGTAAGCAACATACTTAACTGTATGCTGCTCATAGTCACCAGTGTCCACTGCTAAAAGCTGCTGATTCACTGATCAGTGACGATATGATTCAGTTCAGTCAGTTCAGTTTGAAGGTTTTTTGGTTTATGGACTAAACAACTCGACTTCTCATTTCACTCCTCCAAAGAAAACAAAACAAAAAAACAACACTGTTGGGAGAAGTGTTTTTTTCAATGTGCTTTGCTTTCACTTTCCGTCCAGTTCATCTCTAACCAGCTCCATGGGGTTCAGGTCTGGACACTCTGCTGGTCTTCATCATGTTCTGTTCTTCTAATGTTGTAGCTCATTATCTTGCTGTAGGATGAAGCTCTGACCAACCAGTCTGTCTTCCTCTATTACTGATCTGTTTCCCTCTACTCTGACAGCAGTATACAGCCCTGCTTCCTGCAGTACAGTGTCATCCAAATGATGCATTAAAGGATGTTGTAATACAGTTTGTACAGACAAATGGTTTGTCTCTAGGAATTGCTTGCTTTAACTTTCAAGGCTTCATTTACTTCCACTGCTGCAGGAATAATGTCAATAAAAACTGGAAAGCTGCGGGTAATCTAAAACTTTTGACGAGTGTTGCATACACACTGATGTCAGGAGAGAGCGTGATGGCTCCTTTCATGGCAGTAAACACAAACCACTGGCAGCTTAACTCTCCAAATAAAGACTGCTGTCTTCTTATAAAAGAAACCTCTAATTTATTTTAACCATGTCATTGGCTTCACACACAGCTGAGCCACACAGTAAAGTTTTCTATTCTTACTCCCTGTTGTACACAGCTATGACGTGGTCTTCGCCTCGGGTCCCAAAGAACTTCTCAAAAAGTTCAAGCAGGCCAGACACAAGGTGGTCTTCTCCTCCGAGAGCCTGATCTGGCCTGACAGACACCTGGAGGACAAACACCCACACGTCAGGGAGGGCAACCGGTTCCTGGGCTCAGGGGGTAGGTCCATCTGTCCAGTCTGTCACACAGCTGGGCCAGGCCACATGTCTTTGACAATGAAATTCATCATTTTGTACAGTGTTAATTTTTTGAATTGGTCCTGTCAGGAAATTCTTACTCCTAGTTTATTTGAGGTTTCGAGTTTGAGATGACACCAGACACATACATGCACAGACCAAACCTCAGTCCTGGTCCACAGTTTTCTTTAAGAAGTTGAAAAGCTGTTTATTTTTAGACTGAACCTTAAAGTGTAATTATGAGCAGTAGAGTAAGTGTTCACATCAGTTTCCCAGTTGTAATTCTAGGTCTGGGATGTCTGTCATTTCTTTGCATTTACAAAAACACTGATGAAGTTTGAATTAAGTATAAATGACAGACAGTATCATTCATATTTCACTAGTTCATGCCTAAAGTTTAGTGTCTCTGTACCTTATTTTTCACATCTTCACTGACAAGTTACTTCAAAAGGTGACCTTCCAGCTTACACTGTCCTGACGTGTGTCATACACGTCTCTTAAAGGTCCCATATTGTATTAAGTGAGATTTCCATGTCTTTTTTGATTATAGATCAGGTCTATGTTCTTTATTAATACTGTGAAAGTATCAAAGTGCTCAGTCCACAGAGAAATGCACACAGCCTGTATTCAGAAACTGAGCCTTACAACAAGCCATCGGGACTTCTGTAACTTTGTGATGTCACAAGAAAGTAGTCACCGCTCTCAGCCAGGCCCGCCCACCGGCACCCAGCATCCAACCTTGCAGGATTTGGCTTTCTCTTAGTGTTTACCTGAAATCTGTATTTGTATTTGATTACTCAGAAAACAGTCAGCCAATCAGAAGAGAGGATCACATCCTTTCTTCTGATTGGCCACTGACCTGTTGTTGCTAGAGCTCCAGAGAGAAGCCTGAGAGAGGAGATGTAAATCTACACTGACATGATTTTTGGTTCTTAAAAACACAAATATATCTTCTAATGGATATAGATACTTCAAATAAAACACTGGAAAAATGTAAATTTTGGGACCTTTAATACTTTAATGCTCACAAGCCCCAGGTGTGGCTTTTTTCGTTGGAAGGAGTTTGGCAATTTCTTTTTATAGCAGAGAAACAGCAGGTGTGTAGTCAGCAGTCAGTCAGCAGTCTGTCTTTGATGTGGCCATAAAAACAGAACCTTGCTGTAGTTATTAGTCCTCTGAACCACACTTCATTTTTCTCGATGTGTTTGAATGTGGGGACAATATGACAGAGTTCATACATGGTAAATGAAAAGATGTTAGATAGACTTGTGCCATATTCTTTCACCGTCTGTTTGTTTCCTCAGGTTTCATTGGCTACCTTCCCAACATTAAAGAAATGGTTTCTGATTGGTCGGGTGAAGACGATGACAGTGATCAGCTCTTCTTCACCAAGATTTACATTGATCCAGCGAGAAAAGTGAGATCTGTAACACTGCACTGTTCATTTCATGGATCTATACTATATAAAGGCACAATGAATACTAGAACTACTAATATTAACATATCATTTTTAACGTTGTTAGATAACATGTGGTATTTTATTTTGTTCTCAAATCCTTCCAGAGAAAACCAGATCTTTATTTCCCCTGTTTGAGAAACATGTTTGATCATATTTTACTGATTCTAACAAGAATATTGTTTTTATTTTAATTATTTCCTGTCACTTCATGTTGCTGTTTTTTAACCTGCTGTTTTATGTCAGTGAGACTCAGCACTTTGTGCCCAGATGTTCCACATTAAAAACCTTCCAGTAGCTCAGTGGTAATAATCTCTCCTGTTCCTTGTGCTTTTAATTTGTAACACCTGCAGAAAGTGCAGGAGCGTTTTATTGATGGTGATTTAACAGGTAAACAACAAAACAGCAGAGTAGGAGAAACTGTTGAAATAAAGCAGTGTTAGTGTCTTTCAGCGGAGTGTTGAATGTGAGTCTGTTGTACTGATGGAGTTAGTGAATGCACCATCTGATCTAAACATAGGTAAAGTCATCCCTCTGTGCTAGACATTATTATAGTATTATTATTTTAGTTCTGGCCTTCATTGGAGAATTTATGCTGTTTAGATATGACTGTAATATAAAGAGTGAAAACTATGTATTTCCCTGTTTCAGAAATCCATAAATATCACAGTGGACAGCAAATGCAGATTGTTCCAGAACCTCCATGGAGCCCTCGGTGAGTCCAGCCACTCAAGTTTGTTAAGCAGACATGAAGCGTCCTGTAACACAGTGTCTGATGTACTGGAATCAGAGGTCTCTGCTGCTCTGTTAGAAATGTCAACTCATTATTCAGCCATGTTGAAAAGATGAACTGACCGTGAGCTCCGATCAGATCAGAATCACTTTGCTTCACTTGAGGTAACAGCATCTCACAGGGAAGCAGAGGAGCTGATACTAACGACAGAATCCACTCAGTCACAGTATAACCTGATGTACATCACTGATATCAACTACACTACTGTGTTGTTACAGTGACAGTACAGAGCTGATTCTTCCTCAGAAGAATTAAGATGCACATTGTGTTTCTGCTCAGACAACATGAACCACTCCCACGGTCTGTGAACCTGCTACACTGAGACATGAACACCTTGGAGCCCTGATATTGATGTTATCGGTATTAATATTATATTGTAGACAGCCAGTAGCTACACAGTCCTGTACTGAACATTTTCCCTCAACAATGGGAACACTGTGTGCAGCTGCTTATGTAACATTGCTGTGGAAAATGACAATGGGGCATCATCACAGCTGATGTAGTGAAGTGAAGCTCAGGAATTCACAGTTGTACTGATTCAGGCTGAACCCTCAGCAGTGTCTCTGAAGCTGAGGAATCTGTGAGGACTCTGTGAGGTGAACATGCCAAAGCTCACACAGACGCCCTCATGAGTCCAGGGGCATGAATGGAGCGGCCTGCTCCCATAGACCCTCACACTGTGAGCTCTTCTGTTAACGGCTGTTTGCTCTGTCTCTGTTTAAAGTGTAAGAGATGAGACAGCAGCAGTCAGACATTTACATATGCATCAATGTTGACACTTAAAAATCCACAACATGATGTAAAGTAGAAACATCAGGAAATCTAACTCAAACAAGTACTTTTTTAAATTTTTAAATGACCAGTTTTTGTAATACACTGGACTAAATACACAATCATCCACTGCCTCCTTCCCCCCACCCCTGGCAATCCCCTGTTCGGGGGCCCCTTGGGAAAAATGTAGAGGAAAATCCACCAGTGAGTTTGTGTGTCAGGTGTGTATTGTGTGCTTTCTGTAGTGTTGTGTTTCTGTGACACCATTTCCTTTGACTTGCCTCAGGCTCCTGATCACTGCCTCTCTACTCTCCTTGGAACTGGCTCATTCTCTCTAAGCTCCTGGTAGTACTGTGTTTCTGTCCGTTGGGTTCCTGAATATAGATGTAAGCAACAAACCAAATGGACAAAAGGTGGATTTAGGTGTGAGATGTGGTGAGGTGAAGGGAGGCGTCTGATCTGAGTCAATGGAGCTTGTCGATGCCGTGGGGTTTTGCTTGTGCCCTGCCGCAGGATGTAAATTCCTGTGGAAGAGAAACAGGGCGATCTTTTTATCAAATTCCTTCACAGAGCAGATAGGGGCCACAGATAATCCTGTGGAGAGTACTGAGAGCTCTCCTCAGACAGATGTTATCTGCTCTCTGTGTATCATAGTTTCTTTCCTCTCCTTCACATACTCCTCTGCCTCATCCTGGTCCACGTCCCCTGTCCTCTCTCTCATCGTCCTCCGTCTGTACTCTGTCTCTGATTGTGACTAAATACACAATTATCTACCGATGTGTGTGCGTTTGTTTTTCCAGATGAGGTGGTCCTCAAATTTGAAGATGGTCGGGTACGAGCCAGAAACGTGCTGTATGACACCCTGCCTGTCATCATCCATGGGAATGGCCCAACAAAGGTATTGACCTATCAGACCACGCTGACCCATCACATGCTGCAGCAGCCTGAACCGGCCTGAAACAGCTGACCACCAGAGTAACTGCAGGTCAGCAGCTGGCGCAGGCGTCTAAAGAAGTCCAGCTCTTCAATCAGCAAATCTAATTACAACTAATTTGAACCATGCATCTTGTGCTGCACCGCTAAACTAGCCAAAGTGGATTTGGACACGTCCTAAATGCTCCATATGCCTAGATCGTTAAACTAGATCCAAGAACTCTGAGCATGTATAAGTAGTTTTTCTTCATTCTGCTTAGAGATGCATTACCTAGAGTCAACTGATGTGGTTCAGACGGCCACATCAGGCTTCTAGCTCGTGTCTCCTCATTATCTTGAACACGTGCATTAATCTTAGTTTGCTGGATGAACCACTGAACAGGCTTTTACGCCACAGGACTGTCATGTTGTGTCTTGATACTCCTGTCAGCTCAGCTCTAAGTCAAACATGTACTCCTGTTCCCACCCAGAGGGCGTTCCCGATGAATCTTTTTGTCATTCATCATCAGATTTCTTTTTTGTACTGCGAAACCAGAATGAGCTTTGTGATTTCAGACTTTAATGTAGTTTTATTTTAATGTTCCATATTGTATACAGTGAGGTTTCCCTGTGTTTTTTGCTTATAAGGCAGAAACTGAAAAAGAGAGGCTCAGAGTCTCTCTTCTGATTGGCTCACTGACATGTTGTTGCTAGGGCTCCAGAGAGAAGCCTGAGAGAGGAGATGTAAAACCACACTGAGATGGTTTTAGTTTCTTAAAAGCACAAATATGTCTTGAAAGGATCAACACTTCAAAATAAAACACACGAAAAGTGTAAAATATGGGACCTTTAAGTGGCTTAGTAACAAGTTTCCAGTCAGTCAGCCTTGCCAAAGTATTTGCAAATGTTGTTTAAGATATTGAAAATCATTTGATCAGTCATTCTCTTGGTGAAGGACTGGACATTAGATTGAGATGTGATAACCTAGAGGAGCGCGTGTTTGTTTTCCAGCTCCAGATCAACTACCTGGGTAACTACATCCCCAACACATGGACGTTCGAGAGTGGATGCACAGTGTGTCAGGAGGATCTCCGCCCTCTCACAGCTCTTAAGGTCTGTTCACACGCTCTTGGTGATCATGTCCGAACTGGCAAACAGTCTTTGCACAAGATCTCCCACAACATTTAATCAGTAATGAGAATATTTCATCTGCTCAGTGTTTTGTAATAAGACATTTCTCCTGAGACTTGTATGATGCTGGTGTTTTTTCCAACAGGAGAGTGAATACCCACTGGTGGTGATTGGCATCTTCATTCAGCAGCCTACCCCCTTTGTCACAGTGTTTTTTGAACGCCTACTGAAGCTGCAGTACCCCAAGAACAGACTCAAACTCTTCATCTACAACCAGGTAACAGGAGGGCATTTACTGCATTAGCTTTATCATGACAAAAAGAGTTTTTGTTGGAACTGTTGCAGCAAAATAACTGAATAAAGTAATAGGCACCAGTGAATTTAATGAGTCACTGAAATAAAAATGTAGTGATAAGGAAATAAAAACACTGGCCATGAATCAACAGGACACCAAAATACTTTCAGGCTGCAAATGAGCAAAGAAAAAAAAAAGATTTTTAGTTTAATTTTGCTTCACAAATCTCCAAAGAAATGAAAAAAAACATTCACAACCAGTTGAAAGTGACAAGAAAAATAAATTGACCTCTTTGAACCCAGTTGGTGCAACTTTCTTCAAAACTTCAAACTCAGATAATCTGAACACACACATCACACACTCTGCTGGAATCAGTGCAGAAGACCTGTGATTTTATTTCAGTACAAAGAAGACATGCTAAGCTGCTGACAGCTGTCGCACCCATGACATAGAAAAAGCTTGTGGTTGCACAAACATGCACCATGATAATGTGTTATGGTCGTGAAGCCGCCTCAGCAAAAGCCTTGCTAACTGTCATATATGCAGATTTGGTGCTGCTTTCTGTGCGTGTAGGAATTCAGACTCTCTTTCTGTCTGTTTGTTTCTCCTCTTCCTCCAGGAGGCTCATCACGAGCGTCAGGTCAGCTCCTTCCTGCAGGATCATGGAAGCCTATATCAGGATGTAAGGTTCATCGGGCCTGAGGAAGACATAGAGGAAGCTTCCTCCCGCAACCTGGGCTTGTGAGTTCCATGTAACCAGTGGTCGGCTTTGAATCTTCTTGAGTTTCAAATGTATTTAAAGAATTTTATGTCCCACGTTGTATTAAGTGAGATTTCCGTGTCTATTTTGATTATAAAGCAGGTCTAGGTTCTATATTAATACTGTGAAAGTATCAAAGCTGTCAGTCCACAGAGAAATGTGCGCACCCTGAATTCAGAAACTGAGCCTTAAAAAGAGCCGTCGGGACTTCTGTAACTTTGTGATGTCACAACAAATTTGCATGATGTTGACCAGTCGGTGCGTCTCCCTCCCTTTAGTGAAATGTGTCGGAAAGACGAGGACTGTGAGTACTTCTTCAGCGTGGACATTGAAGTGGTCTTAAAGAACGAGAACACACTCAAAATCCTCATTGAACAGAACCTGTGAGTAGATTCATCAATACTGAAATATTCATAATAACCTCGTGTTAGCTGATATCTTGACTGCTGTAGTCACGACCACATGAACTAGATCTTTTCATTACACTCATTTATTTACTCAGTCAATGTGTCCAGATGAAGAAACATGAAAACGCTCCTGTTGTTTAGTCCCATTGTAGCACCGATGATAACTCGGACTGGGCGACTGTGGAGTAACTTCTGGGGAGCCCTGAGTGCAGACAGCTACTACGCCCGGTCTGAGGACTACGTGGACATAGTGCAAGGACGCAGAGTGTAAGTTGCCGAAAGTTCGTTGTTCCTGAAGTCTTATTATTGACGGAGTAGACTGAAAAGCCACTGATACCACAGTCCAGACACTTTATAGTCCCCTGTAGATGTGCACTAAATGTTCCATCAAATCACCAGCTGTGCATCTGACCACAGTGATTGTTTAACCAGTGGCAGGAAATATCCTTCACATTATTGTTTTCAGACTAGGGTTATTACATTTTCACTGGGCGTCAGTGAAAATAAAGAGTAAAAAGACTAAAGTGCATGGCCCAAATGCAATTATCCATATCACTGTTGCTATTTTAACAGTGTAAAAAACGGTCTCTGCTCCAGGCGCATGGTTCAAAAGGGTTGTACTTAGTCTCTTAATTATACTTTGGGGCGATCAGAGTGCCATATCCCATTCCCTTTAAAAGCCAGACGCACTTGCACCTTGGTGGATTGATAATGACACAGTGTTTCACACAGAAATAGATTCTGTTTGAGGTGAGTTGATTACATATTGCAACTGACCAAAGAAGGGCTGAGTGAATCAATGCGCAAAGGCTTATAATATACAGGATCCTGTACCTGTTGTCTTGTTTGACAACAGGAGGCTTCTTATTGAATCATAAGACGATAAGATTCTATATATTAAACTGAGCTGCTTCTCTCTCACTATGTGGGAATTTACAGTGTTTTGTGTCTGTTGATGATATCAGATCCTGGTGTTGGTGTTTAAGTGGTCTAAGACTGTCCTGGTTTTCAGGGGTGTGTGGAACGTCCCGTATGTGTCCAGTGTGTACCTGGTGAAGGCCAGCCTCCTCCGCTCCGAGCTCACCGACCACGACCTGTTTGACTCGCACAACTTAGACCCGGACATGGCGTTCTGCCACCAAGCACGCATCAAGGTGGGTGAGAGGAGGAGGAGCGTCTCCACAGTGACTTAATGGATTTACATTAGTATTAGTGCATGTATGTTCTGTGTAGAAACAATGAACAACATAACTACAGCATGTAAAGGATAGTTTCAGTTTGTTTAATTCCTTCTTTACTTCTCCTGGTATTTTTTGTCATAATTAATGTGTTTGTCTAAGATCTGATTGAAATGAGTGTTTGTAACAGTAAAGATGTTTTTTATATATATATATATATATAATACAATATTTGACCTGTTGTGAATGTTTCTCTCAGGGAATCTTCATGTATGTGACCAACCTGCACAATTTTGGTCGTATCCTGTCAACAGAAAACTACCAGACCGGCCATCTTCACAATGATCTGTGGCAGATCTTTGAAAACCCAGTGGTGAGAAACAATCAGCTGTTCATGATCCCAGCTGTTGTAGTGGTGGTGGGATCAGTGTGGGGTGCCCTCTTGTGTTGGGTGTGGGTTATTGCAGTGGCAGTAATTAGAATCAGGTTTATTGCCAAGTAGGTTTTCAAGGAATTTGCTTTGGTATTTTGGTGCATAACAATAAACATAGTGAGAAGAAACAATATAAAGAAAGATAAAACAAATCAAGTACTGAAAGTTAGATAGCTTAAATATAGATAGATTTTTTTCCAATAATGGATGGATGATAATAAGAATGTGAAAAAGTATATATATATAATACACAATATATAACTAGCCCATGATGGGATGGTTTGTATAAAACCTTTTGAAAACAAGTCATGTGTATGAACAGTGCCCTCTCACCTGCACTGAATCAGCCAATAGCCATTAGAGCTTGTCATGAGATGTCAAGATTACCCATCATGCATTCTGTCCACCATTAAATATACTGACACATAGAAGAAGAAAGCTTGAGTAGAGTTAAGATTATCATCATTAGCAGGTTTAATGTATAATAATTATAATAATTGATTTTGGTAAAAGTGGTTGTACTGGTAGAAGCAGGATAACAAGTGACATCAGACACACTGTAAACCTGCTCTGTGTTTCTTTCAGGACTGGCAGGAGCTCTACATTCATGAGAACTACACTCGCATGATGAAGGACAAGCTGGTTGAAACTGTGAGTTCAACACACAAGTTGTCCTACACACATTACATCATTACAGTGAAACAGAGTAAACAGCAGACTGATGTTCTTCAGTAGCGAGACCAGAACATCTGACCTCCTGTGTCCTTCTGTGACGCAGAGTGAAGACCAGAAACTCACTTGTTGAAACTTCTTTTAAAAAAGAGAGAATGATGCTGAGACTATCAGTGCAGTTGTATGAAATATCTGATGTCCCTCAGTGATGCTGTTGTACTGTGTCCTCTGTCCACCAGCCTTGTCCCGATGTGTACTGGTTCCCAATTTTCTCTGATGTTGCTTGTAACCACCTTATTGAAGAAATGGAGAACTTCGGGAAGTGGTCTGGAGGAGGCTCCGTGGTATGTTATCACATGGGTGTGTTATTGTGTGGGTGGTATTTTTTTCATCTTCTTGCATCAGCGCAGTGACTCTGAAGGTAAACTGTTGGATATGTGACCAGAATGATCTGCCCTGTACAGCTGCTGTAATTTGATTCCTTTGCTTTCAGGACACCAGAATCCAGGGCGGCTACGAGAACGTCCCCACCATCGACATCCACATGAATCAAATTAACTTTGAGAAGGAATGGCATAAGTTCTTACTGGAGTTCATAGCACCGATAACAGAGAAAATGTATCCTGGTTACTACACCAAGGTAAGACTCATCATCGTCATCCTCACACTATTGTCTTCTGAGATGAGAATCAGTGTGAGCGAATTCAAATAATCACCTGAACGTGATCTCGCCTCTGTTGAACAGGGTTAAGAAGAGATGTTGCTTCCTGAAATGATGATGTCTGCGTTAAACTGACTGTCCTCATTAATCCTTCTTTGTTGCAGATTGGACACTGCTGTAGTGCTCGTACTGCATTTCCCAGAGTTCACCTGTCAATCCATTAGAGTAGTAAAGTGGGTGGAGTTATTTCTGGCAATAGTCAATCCTGTTTAATTTCTGCACAGTGTCAGGTATCCTGCAGGTGCTGGCTGGTCATTAAACTCTCAGTTATCAACTCAAACTGAGCCATGTGGTAAATAAAACTCCCAGAAGACCCCAGTCTGCTCTTTTGAGAAATTGAATGAATTTTTTACTCTAAAGATGATTAACTTTGATTAAGTTAACTCCCACTTGATTTGTCTAATTCACCGTATAAGTCCATAAGCCTAAAAGCCATATTAGTAAAACCTTTTTCTGTAACCTGTGGCCGCACCCACTTTGCTGCTCTATAAGGTCAAACTGTGATACGTGCTTTTGTCCTCTCAGCCAGGGTGGCCATCATTATTTAGTGAAACAGCTAGATATTGTAGTTTTTTATCAGACAAACAGGATATAGAGCATTTATTGGGTACTATTTCACATGTAGTGAGTATTTGTAGCAGCAGGGCGGACCACCACCACAATAACATCATATATTGTTTTTAGATTGGATATCGCCCCCCAAGCCTGATCATTGTCATTACCTTTGAATAATGCAGAAGATGATTTGCAGACTAATTGAAAATGAGAGTTTCCGCCCTGTTGTTGGCTCCTGTGCTGCTGCCTGTGTGTTGTGCTGACCAACATGTCTTTTCTCATCAGTGTGCCACTCCCTTGAACTTTGTGGTGAGGTACAAACCTGACGAGCAGCCACTGCTCGTCCCTCACCATGACGCCTCCACATTCACTATTAACATAGCTCTCAACAGCAAAGGCGTTGACTACCAGGTAAATGAGGAGGAGCTGGCAGGTAATAGAAGCTACAGGACATGATGATGCGGGTGATCTGCGGCTCTCTCTCTGCTTCTCTGCTCCATCTCTGGAAGTGAATGCTGGAATAGGAACCAAGCTGACGCTTGAGCAGGAACCAGACGAGTGGCGTACATGTGTACACACACTATGTGTCTCTGGCCAAATGAGCAGTTTCTATGTGAATGCTTGCATGACTCCTCTCTGTCTGTGTGTTTGCAGGCTCAGTTTGACTTGGCCTTTGTAGTTAGATATAAACCAGATGAGCAGCCCTCTTTGAGGCCACACCATGACGCCTCCACATTCACTATAAACATTGCACTCAATCAAGTGGGCCTTGATTACCAGGTGAGTGTGTTTAGAGGTTGGTAGAAATCTGACATTTCCAGCAGTTGTGGTTACTGCATCCTAAAAAAAAGTTGTATCAGTTGGTAGAAACTGGAAATAAGGTACCAGTACTTGTAGTGTAGCTGTGAGCAGGTGACAGTTGGTCATATTGGTGTTAGTGGCTGACAAAACAACTCGAGCCGTTCCAGTCAGAATAGTTGTATCTGAACACAGAGACAGTTATGAATCGTGACTGTGTCCCAGTGAAACTGCAGTGAGAGATTATTCATTTTAATCCACTGTGTAGGTTTTGGACATGTCACTGTGTGGTGGTAGAATAACAAAGGGCCTGTCCGGTCATATGAAGGAGAGACTGGTTCACACCTGCTAATTAAAACTCAAAAATAGTAAAGTAAGTAAATGATACACAAAATTGTGTAGTTAAGTTTATTTTAAGGTGGAATTTTCCCTCGAGCAGACAACATTTCTAACTGTAAATCAGATAACAGGGTGGAGAAATTGTTCTTTTATGGCTCATTAGTTTCCTGATAATTTCCTAGAAAGAACAAAGTCATTTGATTTTGTAGAAGAAAAAAAAACAAGTAGATATTCATTCAGTATTTATTTATTATTCATTTATTAAAGAGTATTTCAACAAACATTTTTAGAGCTGAGGCTAGAACTGATTGTGTGTAGCCAAGTCAACAGCGTTCTGGATACTTTTGTAAAGAAACACAGGTCAGTTAAATTGTATTGATTATCTTAACAACATCTTAGTAACACATACACAATGTAGAGGGAGAAACAGAGGCACTAGGATTATTAATCTGTCCTGTTCAAGTTCGAAAATATCAGCTTTCACATGAACATAGAAGAACTCAAACAACACAAAGGTTTGATAAAGCATGATGCTGAATCAGAATCATATCATTAATTGAATGCCATCATATTTCTGGCATGTAAATCTACATCCCTGGTGTTTCAAACTTTCCATTTGTATCATCTCTGTTTGTGAGTCTGTCTTCTTTGCATGACACATGAAGCTGAAGCGAGGGGCCTTGTTTTTATTGTTGCATCCATGTTGTTTCCCTGCATCTTCAAAAACTTAGTTCACGGTGTTATCGGTTCATACCACATGGATTTGAACTGAGAAGAAACAACTGCTAAATACAGTCACTGTCGTGTGTGAAGCTGTTGTCATGATATATTATGTAGTGTGTCGGAAGACCTACAAGGCTTTCAGGATATCATTTTTGAATATTTACATTTTGAAGTACTATATATGTATGTATGTATATATATATATAAATATAATATTTGATCAGTGATTATTCTAATGACAAAACCAGTGGTTTTGCTTGTTAAAGGTCATTAACTAGAAATCACATGTAACCTGAGCTCTCAAATAAAAGCTGGTATTACTGTCAGGACATGAACTAGAGAGAACATAGATCACACCTGTCAACATGTTGAGGTCCCAACACAGTCCTCAGTTGTTATAAATACATTATTACATGAGTACTCAGTCATCATTCTTATATTGCTACATTATTACAAGTACTCAGTTGTCATTACTATATTATTACTACATTACTACATGAGTACTCAGGAGTCATTACTACATTATTACACAAGTACTCAGGAGTCATTACTATGTTATTAAATGAGTATTAAGTCAGTGTGAGGTTGTAAATGTTCAGCAATGTGAATCACATAATAGATTCTTCCACAGCATTTTTAGTAGTACCAGTGTAAACTGGACAAAACTGAAAAGCAGACAAAACAGAAAATGTAACCACAATATTCACTTTCAACAATATCCACATTTATATAACGATATCATATTGAATAACATTTCATTTAAAATCAGTTGAAATGAACTCATGTAAAAATGGGGAATGATTCAAACATGGCTAAAACAAGCAAGACCACCATATGGACTTTTAGGTGTCTGATCTTAATATGTGTTGTGCTGTGACTGCAGGGTGGTGGATGCAGGTTCCTGCGCTACAACTGCTCCATTCAAGCTCCTCGTAAAGGCTGGGCCCTCATGCATCCCGGCCGCCTCACCCACTACCACGAAGGACTGCCAACCACCGGCGGGGTCCGGTACATTGCAGTGTCCTTTGTGGATCCCTGAACTCCCAAAGATGGCACACCTCACCAGCTAGTCCAGACCAAACAGGACACACGCTGTCCACATCCCTCAGCATCACAGCTGCTCTTTATCCTCTGATCCGGAGTGGTGACCGCTTCTTTTTTCATTATATCACTTCCTGATATTGTTTCTGTGTCACTTACAGAATTATATGCAATTTGTGACTCTGATCAACTGCTATCAGCAGCAGAACTTCAGTGCTCTATGATGTAATGAGACATAAAATCACAGATGCACAGTGGAAGAAGAACATACAAAATGTTATCACCGAGTATCATGTCATTCAAACCTTCACAGATAGAAACACAAGCTCCTGTGACCAGCAGCCTGCATGTGTCTTCTGTCAGATACAGTTGTGTTTTCAGACCCAATAGGCATTAAGGGTTGTAATCTGAATGAGAGCAGAACTAGAGCTCATTGAGCCTTTTTTCTTTTTGAAGAAGTGTTAAATCTCCCTGATGTAATGTAAATATATTGCAACACAAGTATTTCACTTGGATCAATGTCCTTTATGACATTCATTCAGAACATTTTACAGGTCAGAGATTATAGGGCAGTTACTTCCAGTGATGAAAGACAGGCAAGTAACAAAAGAGACTGTGCAGTTGCATTATATGAAGTGTAGGTGTACATGTGTAGGAGCATATAACTCATCGATGGCTAAATATCTCCGTGTTTGTATTATTGGCTCCTCCAGGGCCCCATGAAATCCCCGGTCAGACTGTGTGTGAGCTGGTTCATTCATGCTCCATTAAAGCATATAGACATGACATGATCCTGCTCTGTTGCCTAATCCTAAAGACACTCCTTAAAAAAAAAACAGAGCTTCACTGTCTATGTTCAGTTTTTATTCTTCTTCGTTTCTTAATGTTTTAACTTGAATTGGTACAAATCAGACCTGCACAGAAAACAATGCAGGATTGAACATTTTCTTCAGCAAAATCATGTGACAGTTTCAGTTATCGCCGTCATCACACATGGAGCCGCTCTGGTGCAGCTGTTTGGTTTAAATCTAAAGCTCCTGTTTGGTCTGGAGGGTCTGGTGCGGATCAGAAATGATCCTGTTGTGCCTTTAGCTCTCTCAGGAATAAACAAGCTTCAACGTTTTTTAGATGCTTTTGTAAAAACTTTTACTTCATTAAGTTACACAAACTGTGCCTTTTTTCGGTAACCAAAGCAGTTTTTCTTTTATTCTGTCTTGAACTGAGACACTCCAAAGCCTGTTACAGCTCTTATTTATTTTGTATTGGAATCAGATAATTTTTCATCTATTCACTGCTGTCAGTCAGCTGAGAAACACTCACACACCTTCTTGCTGTTACAAGCCATCTCGCTGTTCTTTGAGCCCCACTCGAATAAAACAGTGAAACCCAACTGAAGTGAGTCTGAACTGTGATTAAACTGTGTGGAGGATTAACAGTAGGGATAAACAAAACTAAAATCAACACAGATTAGGTTATTTTCTGCTCTGTGCACATGATATAAGTAAAGCTCAGTACAGAAACAACAACACTTTTTGGGCGAAAGTATGAGTTAAATTTCTGTCGAAAAATCCAATGAAAATGTCACCATGAATACTATGACGTTTTTATACCTAATACTATGACGTTTTGAAACCTTAATATACAACAGCTAGTTCTGACTAAGTAATTTGATTGGAAGACAGAGTACAGCAGCACCGGGACTTTTAATTACGTGTATCACTCCGCCTTACAGGTGTTCTATTAATCGATACTGAGCGTTACATTAACGGTCGTTATATATCTTAGATTGTAACAAACTTTGCAAAGATTAATATATTTCCAGAAATAACATTTGAATTAAATGATGTGCAGTCGACAGAAGAGGATGATACTTCAGTGCAGACCTGAGGTAACGAATGGACAAAGTTGCAAGCTAGTGTGCACTGTGCAGGTCAGGACAACGTTTATGTGTCGCTGGCAACGGTCCAGTACCAGTCCAGCTGCGGAACTATTTGTGTCGGCGTAGCGTATGATGAAAGAGACAAACATAATTTGTTGTTGCTTATGTAACTAATGTGGCGCTCGTATAACTTTATAACAACAGTTATACTCGAGGTCGAGTGTGCAGGTTGTGATTGAGTCATAGCTATGAGGCCGTGCTGATATTCAGTACATCGCTCCCTCTCGTGTGATATTGCTCGACTATACGATTATTTATTTATTTATGGGGCGGCACGGTGGTGTAGTGGTTATAACTGTCGCCTCACAGTGAGAAGGTTGTGGCTTCGAACCCCTTCTGTGTGGAGTATTCATGTTCTTCCGGTGCCCGTGGGGGTGATCTCCGAGTACTCCGGTTTCCTCCCACAGTATGAAGACATGGTAATTGGTTACAGAGGGTTGGGGTTAAGTGTCCCAGAACAAACATCACATTTCATATCAATAGTGATAGCTTTAAGACTCCATTTCTCCCACTCTGTGCTTAATGTTATGAAGTGTATCAAATGTGGTTAGTAAAGTTCACCATGTGAATGTAATGTGGAGTACATACTAAAGTATTTGGAGCCCCATGGGCAGTTGTCTTTCCCTAAACAAGTTTACAGAATTTCACATTAAAAAAAAAAAAAGGTCCATAATGAACTGATACTTCATAACCTTTATTAAAAGTTAATATAGCAGGAAGAGAAAGATTATTCAGCACAGTTAAAATCTAAAGCTCAACATGAAATAGTAAAAACAGAACTTCAGTCATTTGAAATACACAAGTCTATTTACAACATTAAAGCCAGTGTTCTACTGACAAACACCTCATGATGTCAAAACTCAACCAAACATCTGAAGTAGTAAAAGATGCAGGTATATACACAGGAGCACGAGAGGTTGATCACAGGCGGAATCGATCAGAGAAATTTGGTGAGTGGGGGACGGTGAGGGGAACCTCACTCTTCTTCACTGCTACAGGTTTGTAGTGTCTGATGGGCTGAGCCTTGTGGACCTGCAGAGGAGGCAAAGAAAAGCTGTCAGACTGGCGTACATCAGGCCGTAGCTGCACACACAGGTTAAACTCTGACCATTTACCAGGTGACAATCTATCAGACTTCATTATATACAAGCCTGTGTTTTATGTACGTTTCCTTGTTACAGTGTGACGTTATAAACAAAACGATTAAAGACTATACACAAACATGTTTAAACTGTCAACAGTTACTCGCATGTTGAGTTAATGCACGTTAATTTGTTCATCAATCAGTCCTATTAAGAAGAAAACCCAAGCAGACGAGCTGTGGATTGTCAGCGGGACCAGCAGCTCTTTAACCGAATCTAATTGTTATTATAGATGAAAAGCAGCTACATGACCACATCAACAGTACTGTCACTCAGTGATACGTCATCAACCTCCCCTCCATGTAAACATTGTGTAGCAGTGACCTGTTCTTGCCGCAGCCTTGCGATCTCATCCCTCTGTCTCTGCTCCTCCTCTCGTCTCTGATCCTCCTCCATGAGCGCCCTGAGAGCCTCCTTCTCGCTAGCCACTCGCTCATACTCCTGCCGCTCCCGGGCCCTTCGCTCTGTTGACAGCTCGAAGGCCTCGACAACTGTGGAGGAATTGATGCCTTCTCAAAGTGCAGTGGCAGATGATAGTAAAGGCAACAGGAAAAGTGAGTTACACGACGCTGGAGAATGCCACAGCAGAGAACTGAAGCACTCTTCAGGTTTCAATAAAGTCACTTATTCAATCCTGGTCACTTTAACACGGCACAGGTGAATCATTAACCTCTGAGTTCATTTTTATGTGGCAACAATTCTGCTGTGTTGGTATGGAGATCTGTTACTTCAAAACAAACACTTCCATCTCCCTCAGATGCATCAACAAATGATAAGTGTGTGTTATTGACCTTTTCCTGTGCAGTTGTGTCTGAGGATAAAACAGGATCATTAGCCAATGATCCAATTGTTTTTACTGTCTGCATGAAGACATTTGTGATGGTTAAAGTAAGAGGCCAGGGAATGCATCATATCAATGAGACAAGATGTGTATGTTTATCAAAGCCTGATGCAGCTTGTTCCTCTGAGCCATAGAGCGCCATTGTTTCCAGAAACTTGTGTTCGAGGTATCAGACAGTCAGAATTATGCATTTGTCTCACAGACACTACAGGTCTAGGTCTGGGTGAGGGTCAGTGTTGTGATGCAGCTCTGCATGTTGACAGTCTTACCTATTGCAGACCGGCTCTCCTTCTTGGGTTGGAAAGGCTCTTTGTGAGTGACTGTGTTGGGTCTGGCTTTGAATATTGCTGCTTCCTCCTGTTGTTTCTGCTCTTCTTTCACCTACAAAGCACAGAGCTCAGGTTTGAATTGCATCATTGTAGAGAATAAAAACAGCTTCTATGCGTTCAGTGGCAGATCCCATCATACCATCTGTTCCCAGCGACTGTTCTTCACAGCACCACGTTCATCCAGGAGCATCCTGAAGGGCTCAGGCTTTGTGGGCTCCAGCTTCTTCTTCTCAGGAAGGACCACAGCGTCAAAGTCTGGCAGTGGCTGAGCCTTGAACTGTGGAACCTGGAGAAAGTCAGAGGAAAGTGATTTTAACGGTTGTGTCTTTATTCTGGATGTCTGAGAACACCAGCTGAGGAAGTGTGACTGCACCTCTTCATTTCGCTTGTCCTCCAGCCTCTTCTCTTTCAGTGCCCTCCTCTCTCGCTCCCTCTCTTCAAAGGAGAAGGGACAGACCTCCACGTGGCGGTTCTCTGGGAGCCGGGGCTGGAAGGGGAGGCCGAAGTGAGGCACTGGCGGGGGCTTCACTGGTGATGGCTGTTTTTCCTGACAAGAGACACCAGGTTTTGTCATTTACATGGGAATGGCTGGGGTGTAGGGGTTTGGTTACCATTGGTAGTGCGATTAATGATCACTATTACTGATTAATCTTTGTCTATGAAACATCAAACTTCGTTCAAAATATCTGAGCACAAGGTGAAATTTTATCAGAACATGAAAAAACAGACAAAAAAAACAAAAAACCCCAGAAAAAACAACAACAACAAAAAAAAAACAACTCAATTTTCTGATTTGAGAAGCTGGAGAGAGACTTGACTTGACTTGACTTGAAAAATGACTTAAACTGACAAACTATGAATGAATTCATGACAACCAAACGTGTTCTTACTTCCTCGACCTTGCGATCCACACGAACTCTCTTCTTCAGCGCAAAAGCTGGAGACTCTGGAACAGTTGGATGCAGCACTTTCTTCTCTGGTAATCCCTGTTGACAGGAGCAAATCCTGTTTACTACATTCAGGTATGGGAATAACCTCAGAAGCTTCATGTTTTCTCAGAAGAATTAAAGTGAGTTTATTGTAAACTCCTGTATTTGGCACTGAACTGTTGGCAGCCAGGTTTTAACTCACCACTACTCCTTCCAGGATCTTTTTGGGCAGAGGCTGTGGTTTAAAGATGTGTGGCTTCTCTTCATCCTCCTGAGGCTTCTTGGTAGCCTGCCTTCCCTGGAGCCTCTTTTCAATCTGCAGCTCGAAGCCTTCAGGTACAGTGGGCTCCTTCACTGCTGGCTTCTTCAAGTCCTGGACATTCTCCAGTATTTTCCTGTTCAGCTCCAGGGCCTTGAATTTAAACCTGTGATCAGAATACAACATTAATGGGAAATGAACATGATGCTTGTATTTTTTTTTTTGTGCACATGGTTGATGGCTGCAGAAAGCAGGCTTGTCTGTAGGGGGTTAAGTAAAGGCTCTTACTTGTTCAGTTTGTCCACCTCTTCAGCCTCCAGGTCCGCACTGCTCTTCACAGTGGGTGGCCGGCTCCTCTGGCGGGTCATGAGGTGTGGGGTATGAGGCTGGGTGAGCTTCAGGTGGTCACCCTTCACTGGGGATGGCCCTAACAAAGTCATTTTAAAACATGTTAATCATTTAAATGCTTATATCCCCAGATCACAGAAAAAGACTTTAATTGGCACTGAACACTGACGAAGCAAAGCCAACCTCTCTCCTGGCTCTGGCGGCTTCGCAGATGGTATCGGTCGGGGGTTCGTTTCTGAAACTGCGCTATCTGCTGAGCCATGGGCACGTAGGCGCCCGGCCCCTCCATCTTCCTCTTGTTGCCTGTGGACAGGTTGAAGGGTTTGGGAACTGTGGCACCTTTCTTGGTCTTTGCCTGGAAAAACAAAAACAAGCCAAGTGTAAAAATTAGGTGAACATCATCATCATGTGCATCCATTCAGGTGTATGTACTTTTTCCATGTAGAAGGGTTTACAAATGTGCCACAGTTTTGTTCTGTTTTCTCCATTCTCCAAGTCAATGAAATAAAAGGAACAGAGCATTAAGGTTTCTAGGAAATGACAGTAACAGTCTTGCCTTAACGGGTCCACTGACATGTCTATAGGCTCTAGGTGTATCATTGGTGGTCTGGGTTTCAGGTCTGTCCAAAGCCCTTGGGATGCAGTATAGCTTTAAGGACCTTTAAGGTGTTAGCATATGAAGTACTTACTGGGGAGGAAGGTTTGCGAAGCTGACTAATGAAGTCCACTTCCTTTTGGGATGTACTGGATGAAGTGGTTGCCTTAACACGGGTGTCTGTGTTGAAATGGAACTCTTTAGGCACAGTTGTGGACATGGCCGTCTTCTTCAGTGGTGCATCTGAAATAACAGTGACACAGAAGTAAAGTGAGCCTTCAGATCTTTTGAAAACAGAAACAGACTAATGGCTTCTTATCCTGCACACAAAACAGTACATTCACTAATGGTTGTTGCAGACCCACACAAAGTAAGACAGTTTCATCTACTCACTTCCAGCCAGGGCAGCTTTGTAGCTGGCCTCGTTCTTCTTGCGATGCAGAGCCACTTCCTTCTGGAGGTTCCTGATGCGCTCCAGCTCCTGCTCCTCAGAGCTAACATGCCTGTCATCAGGAAACGGACAGCTTTAACTTGTTTTTTCATCTCAGTCTCATTTAAAGTGTTAAAGTAATCTATTCGAACCATTTAGAGCTTCACTTTAAGTTTATGCCATTAAGATACTTGGGTTCAAAAGCTCTGACTTTTCTACAGACTACTGTTTAAGAAAGAAGAACAATCCTGGTGGGTTTTATATGTAGATGAAGGCAGCTGATGGCGATTGGTCTTGTCAGTGTTACTTTCATATTCTTAGTGAAACAGAAAAGTTCTAAGTTTAGAGTAAAAATACAGTATATGTATATGAACCTACTTCAAACCACAACTTGCATCCAAAGCACCATCTCCAGTGGGCTCTACACTCACTGAAGGTGGCCTGTTTTACCTTCTCACCTGCACACACACTGCACCTTACAGCTGGCTTTTCACTCCACCTTTCAATGTGGCTATTTAGAACGGTTAAACACTTGTTTTCCCGATGTGCTCGGATGCCAAATCATATGAAGTTCTTTTCTAGCATAACCTGACCCTTAGTCAGCAACCAAGGAGCTGCCTGCACTTCAGCAGTTCCATCAGTCCCTTCAGGAAGTTTTATGGAAACAAAACAAATTAATCTGATCAAATAATATAAAGCAAGAACTGGTCATTGTTTTTTGCTCCATCCCCTGCAGGATGAGGCTGAGAAACATGGTTTCACCAGTAGTACTGGCAGTAGTCTTACTCTCTGTTTGCAGTGTTGGAAGCTGCCGCCCGGGCCTTGGGTGTCTTCCTGGAATTCAGCAGCCCACTCCTGCGGAGGACCATCGTGGATTTTCGAGTTGGTCGGGCAACAGGACTCCTAGAACAAACAGCTGCAGTTGAAGTGGCTGCTGCGAAGGCAGGAGAGCATCTTGATGATATGGCTGGACAGTCATGACACTTACATTTTGTGTTTCTTTGATGGTGGTTGAGCTGATGGTTGTTGAATTGAGGTGCTGGGCATCCCTTTACGTTTTGAAACCCTACAATGAAATAAAATCACAATCACACTGGCCATTAGGAGCAGCAGGAGAAGTCCCACACACCGACCCGATCCGGTGAGGGTTAGTATTTGTTTGACAACGTGAGGCAATGGAGCTATGTATAATGTTCAAGTTAATCATTTGTCATGTTTTGGATAACCTTATAATTAGTTTAAATATAGCCATCACTGGAACTGTACCTGCGTGGTTGGACAGGGGGTTGATTCGCAGTCCTCCTCCTTGGTTGGGCATCAGTCTGAGTTTCAGCACCCCAGGATGTGACAATGTTTGGAGGTGGAGATGTGGCTGTACCAGGACCTGGAACATTGATCAGTCCACATGAGTTCACATTATCCAAGTCATGAGGACTTTTTAACTCAAATTACAGAAGACTAGGGGACCACATAGTGGGAACAAGCTGCATTTTCAGAACCACCTTAACGACTACATTAGCATGTTAACAGAAAATAATTATCAGTGCATATGAGTAATTGGCTATAATGCAAAGAAAACTAACCAGCATCCACATCTGTCTTGACTTGAGGAGTTACAATGGCTTTGGGCAGGCTGGGCATGTCGCTTCTCATAAAGGGCTTTCTCAAAGGTGTAGCAAGGTCAGCATCAGCTCCCCCAGCCTGATGTTCTGCATGTGAGACAGTCAACGATAAAGTCAAGAAAGATTCTGAAATGGGCATTTTAAAAAGGCCACTGTGGTACAGGCCATTTTCACAATCAGTTTCAAATTGAAGAGCATTAAGTCTGTAGCAACATGAGAGCAACTGTATTAAGTTTAGCATGTACAGAAACCTTAATCATATTCATATGAGATGCACGACACACCAAAACACAGTATTTCAAACAAAGCCTTATAAAAGTTTGTCACTACCTTGACAGAACTACACTTGTAGAGTGTATTGAAATTGGACCTAGTGCTGGAATTTAAATGCCTTTATCCTAATTGCATGTAACAACTTCAAGATCCAGGGTTACCCAACGAAAAAACATGCGTCAAAACTCACACCCTTCATATAACTCAGAAAAAAAGCAAAGAGCGTCAAAACCTCAAAAAAACAGATCACTTCAAACAATGCGTGTACAACTTCACATTTTTCCAAAGATACAAAGGCTTCACCAAAGCAACAACAACACTAACAAAACATCACTGCTGCAGGGCTCGGTTTGTATAACGTGCTTCTGCTAATGTTTACTCCACCTGCACCAACTTATTTCCAGTGTAACCAGAGATGAGCGGCCGTAATAGCTGCATGAGGAGACATCCCAAACTCATCCTAAACTTTTCAGAGCAGTTTTGCTGCGAGGCAGGATAAACGCACACAGCGAGAAAATGACGTTAACATTAAATTGTAAGAGGATGCTGCGGCTGAAACAAATAATTATCAAGTCTCAAACCCTCAACTTAATACCACTCAGGTTAAAATGTTGAAAAAAACTCACCAAACCACCTATCGTCGCTGTCTGCATTCTCCAATTCTTGGAGGTCGATGACGTGGGAAGGGGCGTCAAACTCGTAGAGTTCAGGGAGACCCTCCGAATCGCTTTGGGCCATAATCTCAGGCTGTGTTATTCCACAACTCGCCTAAACAAGAAACCAGTAGACAGGGCACATCTTGCATTAAAGCTCCCCTTGTTGAATCCGCATTTAGTTATCCAACCTGGCTAGCAATTTATTTGGTCTTAACTAAGGCTAGTTTACATCTGATAACTGTACTTTGATGGAAAGTGATCGCCTGTACTAAGTCGACAAAGGAACTGAACCGGAAAAGTTACACAAAAGAACATGTTTTTGTTGTTTTTTTCTTACCATTAAGCTGTACATTGCTGTGTTAATGTAACATTAAAATATTGATTTGCGTCACGAAGTCTCATTCTAATCGTTTAACTGTAGTTTATGTTAAGGCAACGCCATCAAGGTAGAACAACTGGTTAACGCTACCTAACGTTAAACATTAGCCGTTTAACTGGTAAAACTATCAGGTAATTCTTATTATTAACACATTAAATATCGCAACATCCACGCGGCTGTCCCGTTTAGTAGAGTTGATCTCTAAAATATGAAACTATTTTGCTAAATAAGATTTATTGAAAACCTTACCGACACCGTCTGTTCTCGGGGCGACGCAGATGAATCTGCAAACGCCGCGCGGATGTAACGTTAGCGTTTAAATTGCCTCCGTTTTGAAACAGCCAATGGCTAACGTCATGTCCATTAGCTCGCCGCTTATTGGTTCATACGCGTCAACTTCCTGTGACCTGACCACGTGATCATCACATATTGCAAAATAATGTGGAAATATGTGTGTTTGCAGCCAAAAGAAGAAATATGCCAACAACACATTTTGGGGAGGGAAGGGCACAGACTAAATTGGACAGATAGTAGACGAGTTAATGGAATTAAAATGATTACTTTGTTTAAAAAACTGGCCTGGTTTGTTTTTAGCAGAGGAAGAGAATCAGCTGTAGATCTAATGTTGGTTTCTAGTGACCCATACGCAAATGTTATATGTACATATATTGAATTTCCATGTATGAAATGTATGTACATATGAAATAAAAACATGTCTGTAAAAAATTATATATGAAACCTATTAGAAATTGGAACAATTTCATATATTGACAGATATGTCTATCCCATACAAATATGTGTGTTTATGTTTGTATTCTGTGGACATGTTACATAAACATATATCCATCCCAAAGCCTGTTAATATATGTTGATATTATATACAGTGACAAAAGTCTAAGACCACATTCCCAGAATGGAAAGATAGACATGTTTAAAATGAATGAGAAATTGATAAGAAAAGCAGATATAAATTAAATATATATTCTAAACATATATGCTCACAACATGCTATACCACAGAAAAAACCTAATACATCCGATAATATCCCAATTGAGCTGAACATTTTACAGTTTGAATGGAACTTTTGTTGGAGTTTTATTATGGATTATGGAGTTATTATGGTTTTTAAATGCTATTTTAATGTAATCCGAATGATATATTTTTTAATGCCTTGAACTATGTTGTGTCTGAATGGTGTTATTATAGAAATAAACTTGTCTTGCCTTTATGTTGAAACGTCTAGAAGGAGATACGAATCAAAAAATGGAATAATAAAGAATTTGTGTACCCGAGATGAACATACAGTAGGATTGCGTTTGCAGCAATTGTACCAAACTACTTACATATAAACAAGGAAGAAGATGGAATGCACCTTTGGCGACCTTGTTTTATACATCTTGTAGCAAACAGAGATAAACATCACTGGGAGGCTGGGCTCAGGGGAAACAGTACTTTACTTCTCCCAGGGGTAAAACAAACCTGGGAGACTTTTATTTTATTTTATGTGTTATAATGGTTGGCTCAGTTATGCTTCATCATGATTTCGCCGTGTTCCATTGGCTGGAAGTGCGTCATGTGGGCGGGTGCAATCTTCGTGGCACTGTCGGGGGCGGGGCTCTTACGTCCGACAGGAAAACGAAAGAAAGGCGAGTATCTCTAACAAAACGGTAAAATTACGCTTATGTGACTAGCCAGAATCGGTATCTGCTTCATAGCTTTGTGTGTAAGAGTAGCTGGTAGATTCAGGCGATGTATTGCGGTCTAAAAATGTTCTGTGTCCAGCCTGACCACAGGCCAGCTGTCCCGAAAAACTAAGCAAAGTTAGCAAGCTAACATCTTAGCTTCCTCAGAGGGAATATGACCTGCTGCTAGCTAGAAGTTAGCTGCCACTCCACTGATTCACACAGGCCAAAAGATAATGATGGTTAAAAATAAGGTAACATCGGGACAGCAAGCTACCTGTAACGTGAAGCAGCTCACCAGAAGTAAAGCTGACAGATACAGTAGCTCGTTACATTGGAGGTAAACAGCAGTGAGGAAGTGAATTGATAATGCAACGTAAACTTGCCAAATAGTCTTGATCCGCCTGGCAGCTGTAGCTAACCATTGCAAATTGTGTTACAGTGTGTCATGTTAACTCAGTTCACTCTTTGAAGCGGTCAGTAGACCATATAGATGACTACAGACAGACTGGCTGTATATGATGTAATCTGTGACCCATTCACTATAAATCTATGCCTGGGTTGACGGAGTTTTATTCAGGCACTGTTTTGAATCTTCTTCAAATGGCGACAGCAATATCTTAATTTCATTGGTCCATTTCATTGGTAGATCTTATTTTAGCAACATACGTAAACACCAAATCCAGATCTTATCCAGGATCTCCATGTTGAATTATTATGTCTGAAACAAGGAATAAGAGTCCTGCTGTTGATTGTCATGTTATACTGTAATTTATATTCATGCGTTTTGTTCAGTGAATTGACTAATGGCAACAACCTAAACTAAACAGGATGAAACCCCATCCAACATTTTTGCTTTCAGGCCCACATAGAAGTTGATTTGTTTCGTTGAATGTTTGTTGTTTATAGTGGAACTTTAGTGAGCTCTACAGGAGGGATAATCTTCCAAAAGATAGTAAAATATGACTCATCTGATTAGATCACATTTATCCACGTCTCTGCAGATCAGTGCCTCTGGTTTTGGCACCACTGAACTCTCAAATATGCATTTGTCTCTCAAAGTTTTGTACATCATTTCCTCTTGATACAAAATCAGAATCAGAATTTTTGTACTTGCCACAGAGCATGATGGGAGGTTATTTCCTTAATTGTACCATGCAGTGCACCTGTGTTGAAGCAGCAGCATGTTTTTAAGCTTCTCCACTCATTTATTCAGTTTTTTCCTTTAATCTGTCACCTGTTTGCATGTTGTTTTATGCCAGAATCAAAATTTAAAAAATCTGTGTTGGTTGGTCCACTGCTGTGGCCTAGGGTTAAATATATTGACACATATCTGATGGATTACCCTGAAAGTTTTCTAGGTGGATGACTGCTGATGACTTTGGTGATTGACTGAATTGTCATCTAGTGGCACAAGTGGGTTTCATCAACCTGCAATGACAAATGTGACATTATTATGTGGACTTACAGAGAAAACAATGGATGCAGGTGTTATGTGCACCAGGCTCCAGTGATGTTTCCTGATGTGAGAGCTCTGCTTTTAATTCTAGTCAGCTTCAGCTTCACTTTGAAATTGAGGCGATGTGAAGACTGACAATAGTACAGCATGAAATATGCAGCCTCCTCACTCATGTAAATGAGGCCACTATGTTGACACAGGGAGGGTTACAACACAGAAAAAAACTGCAAGGTTGTTCTGCAAAAAAGTTTAAATTTGCTCAGTTTTAGCTGCAAAGCAATTTGCCATCATCTGACAAAGCATATTTTTACCAGTCAAATACATGCAAGTGAACCTTCCTGACAGACAACAGAGGATAAAGTGATTGGCCACGACAACTTTTATTAAACCTATCCTCATAGTGTTAAAAACCGCTGTTTGTAAAACCAGTGTTTTGGTGTCTGATAAACCTACAAACTCAAACCAGCATGGATCATCTCTTTCATCATCTTGCGGGACTTTTTGGCACCAGTGAAGCTTGTTACTTCACAGGGCTGTTTTTGGTCTGAATGCCCAGAATAAATAACAGAATAAATGTCTTTCTTCATTCTTTCAGATGGCTGCAATCAGGAAGAAACTGGTGATAGTTGGTGATGGAGCCTGTGGTAAAACCTGCCTCCTCATTGTGTTCAGCAAAGATCAGTTCCCCGAGGTTTATGTGCCCACTGTGTTTGAAAACTACGTGGCCGATATTGAGGTGGATGGTAAACAGGTAAGATCTCAATATAATGACTAATGTCACATTTCTATGTTCTTTTCATATTTTCAGTTGTCCATTTATAAAACATGCACTGTGTGGTCTGGGGCTCCGAACCTTATGGGTTGGTTCAAAGTTTAACCTGATACTGATATTGATATTGGAGAGTTAATAAAAATTAATTAAAAATGTTGAGATTTTATATCAGCTGATCTTAATGTTTTCTCTCTCGACATAAACACTAATATCGGCTCATATATTGTCTTGGCCGATTTATGGGTCTAGCCCTGTTTCAAAGCTTCTCTCTCACCTCACATCCACCTATGATCTGTTACCTGGACAACAACCGCTGATTATGAGCCTCAGCATTTAAACCTGGTATTAGAGGAATAAATTTGATATTGTGTTGAACTATGAACACATTTAACAAAGCTCACTAATGATCATGTTTTATCTTGTTTGTTTAATCTGGACAGAAACGCAAATGTAAAATTGAGCGTGAATGGTTACAGGGGGAGTTATGTGCTCTATTTTTTGTTGAACAACAGTCGACCCAGCTTCTTTGCTGGTTGCCTGGCAACCAGATAGTGACGACATTTTGAGAAGCCACTGAGCCACTTTGGAAAGTCTCAGATATTGTAGAACAGTGTCTGCTGTGACATTTGCCATCTCAAACAGTCAAAATCTAGTAAATAAACTTTAAATCTAGTAAATCTAGTAAATAAACCAAAAAATGTAAAAACTGTACAGTCTGTTTCCTCTGAGCCCCGTGTCATTTAATGGTAACAAAGACACAGTGATGTACTGATGTTTCATCTTTGGCTCTTGTAGGTGGAGCTGGCTCTTTGGGATACAGCAGGTCAAGAGGACTACGACCGACTGAGGCCTCTCTCCTACCCAGACACAGACGTCATCCTCATGTGTTTCTCCATCGACAGCCCAGACAGTTTAGGTGAGATTTCTTCTTCTGTTGGTGTTTTTGACAAACATTCTGTTTCCATCTGCTCCATATTCAACATGTACACCTTGTGCCCGATGCAGAGAATATTCCAGAGAAGTGGACTCCTGAGGTCAAGCACTTCTGTCCCAACGTGCCCATTATTCTGGTGGGAAACAAGAAAGACCTGCGAAACGACGAGCACACACGTCGAGAGCTGGCCAAGATGAAACAGGTCAGTGAGGCTGTTAGATGTTCAAACCTGTGGAGTTCTGTTCAGACAGATCCAACCACAGGAGGATTGACTACTCACTGATGTGTCAGACTAAACAATTATAAACAGTCATGATGTCGTTTTTTTAGGTTTCAGGTATCAGAGTCTGATTCCCAGCATTACGCTCTTGTTACAATCATCAGCATTTTATTTTATTGTCAATTTATCTGTTTATAATTGAAAATGTATTATTTATTCATTTAAAAAAAAGAAAAAATCATTTACATTTACTCATTTGACGATTCGGCTTCATCCAAACAGGAACCAGTGAAGTCAGACGAGGCGAGGGACATGGCGAACCGAATCAACGCCTTTGGTTACTTAGAGTGCTCGGCCAAGACGAAGGATGGCGTGAGGGAGGTATTCGAGATGGCCACCAGGGCGGCGCTGCAGGCCAAGAGACGAGGCAAGAAGAGCGGCTGCCTTCTTCTATAGAGTGTGAGGTAACACATGAGCGGGAGGGATGGGGGAAATAAACAAGGCCAAGAAAAACACCCCCACTGTGTCTGCTTCATCACCACGGTGGGCACGGTTGAACGTGGAGTTACAGGGATGAGGGAGAAGAAGTGTAACCGGGCCAAAGGAAAAAAAAAAAACAGGAAGCTCAAATGTAATGGAAAATGGGAAAATATATACATTTAAGTTCAAGGTTATAGCTTTTAGCTTTCAGATAAAAATACTGTAATCTTGTGTTTAGAAACCTTAAATTAAGAGAACATGAAGAGAAGGGAGTATCTCTCTCACTCATACTTTTAAAGGTGAGGTAGGGTTTGTCCTGTAAGGAGGTTTCAGGTCTCTGAATGGAGTACAGTGGTCTCCTCAGTCCCTGAGACCAGCTCCAGATGAGACCAGGGGTCAGACAGACGTATGCCGGTGGCCTGCAGTGTGACTGTGTCTCTCAGTGTTGTCCTCTCATTCTATAGGTTTTCATTCTCCTTTATTTCTAAAGTTTGACCAAATTAACTTTCTATGGAGCGAGCGCTTCTCTTTTTTATCAACCTGTAATATTTGATACCGTTTTCATTCATTTAAAAAGCTGTGTTTTATTATTTACAGTTGAGCATGAATACATGATGTAATGAGACCAACTTATGTGTGTTTTATACAAACTTCATCATTAATACAACACTTAAAAAATGAAGTTGATTGAGATTAACCTTCAAGTCAGAAAACTGTGATTGAATTAAATCAATGTGGACTGTCAAACACACTGTACACAGCTGGGTATGAAAGGGTTAACAAAACTTACTATAAATCAGTAGTGGAGCCTTAATTTAATTAAGCTACAGCTGATTATCCCTGTTTTATACAAATATTTCATCATATATCGGGAAGAATCCTCTGATCAGTTTTAATTTGCTGTTGATGCAAACTGAACACCTCCTCCATGTCCACCTGACTAATTCAGTACAGTGTACATGTCTACAGCACAGTCACGTTTCTCTTTTTAACATAAATACTGTTTTCACTCACTCATTTGTTTCAGCAACTTAAAATCAGTAGTTTTTTTTTTTAAAGATACACTTCCTTGTTAGCAGCAGGCTTTTAATTTGAAACATTTGCAGGAATGTTGGTAACACTTCAGGCTGTGAACGCCCCCTAACAGAAACTGTTTGCACCAAATCATTTTGAAAAAGCAGTGGCCAACTAGGAAACTCCAACTCAGTCATGTGGCATTCAGCTGACTAATGGTGGAACTATGATCAGTCAGTCAGTCAGTAATTATTGGCTGGCCCTGCTGTTCCTGTCCAGCCTAAATAAATGCAGCGTGGAAGTGACTGAAAACAGTATTTCTACTCGGAGGAACAATGTAGTGATTCTGTGTTAATGACATCATAATACAAGTGACTCCTCCCCCTCTCAGTTGTGATTTATTCTGCAAATGTTAAACACTCTCCCATTATTTAAGTAACAGACTTAGTTTGAGAATTCATGATAGACCAGGATATACCTGTATACACCTATATACACCTGCATACCTGCCAGGATGTTACTGTCGAGTTTTGTTTCCTCTCAGTTCACTCATGTCTACAACTGTTCTTCTTTTGCTTTGTACTCTATTCTATGTTATGTTAACTTTGTGATATTCTACTGGCTTACCTTGTATTATTTGCACACAACTAAAAACAAAAGGTCAGTGTGGTAAACACTTATAAAAATTATGATGTCAGATTATGAAATACAAGATGCAAGCGACTCCTTGATGATTGGTTCTTTGTAAGAGGAAGATTCTTTTGTACACAAATGTATCCTCACATTTCTCCACTTGTCTTTTTTAATGTATTCTAAAGGAAATAAACTGTAACAGAACGACCATGTCCTGCCACTGGTGCCTTATTATTTTAATTGGTGAAATAACATGACAAACAAGGAGTGACATGGAAAACACAGTGACTTAGAAAACAAAACATAATAGACAGTTGAAATAACATGGGAGGTTCTGCCATTCTGCCAGTGGTGTCAACGCTCAAAGGCTTTCTTTCTTAAGTCTCTGTATGTTTTAACTCAGCAACTAAACAAAGCACAAAATTAATTCAAATAGTAAAATTCTTAGACTTGAACACTGATTAATTGTGTTCAGGTACTCCTGCAATCCAAACTTGCCTTGAGGGATCTGACTGAATGTCTAAATGTTCAGCAGAGGAGTTTCATTCAGCAGCAAGAGTTTATATGTTCATTTGAGCTGATACTTTATAATTTAAACCATATCTTGTCTTACAGTTACAGGAGTTATTATGACTGACTCTGCACCTGTACACAGGACTAATTCTGTTCATAGTTTAAAATATTTTGACACATCTTCAGAGAGTCGACAACTGGACAGTGTAGACAGTCCAGTGTCTAAACTGTCCAAGCAGAATTTTGCACGACAGCATCCATCACTCAGATCAGCCATCATCATGTGAACCGCTCCCCTCAGGTCCCTGTCTTGTCTTCCAGTTACCAGGTTCAGTCAGCAGCACTAAGGTTGGCTCCTGTGAGGTGATGTGCTGGGAAAAATGTAAACAATATAAAGCAGCACAGGGTGTCAACAGGCTCAGTCCTCAGCTTCACTCTAATGTCTGATGGAGTCCGGCCACAAATTCCTGATAGCATGGCTCTGAAATGAAAAGCACACGATCAACACGAAGAAGAGATCGGAAGTTGTCGCCAGATTTTATAATTGATATAACAGTCTCAAACCTGTGTCAGGCTCAATAAACGAATGTCTAATGAGGAAGTCCAGGACCACCATGGCAGAGTTGGGTTTGAAGTCATCGGTGGACAGCAACTCCTTCACCTGAAACCAGGACAGGAATCAGAAAATACTCCTCGTATCTCTGTGGCATCACAATCTTTGTTCAGTCCAGTTCACTTCAATCAGCTCACAGTGAAGACAACTCCTTCAGAGCCACAACATGAATAGATAACGTTCACACACCACAACAAATCCATGCAGATTAACGGGGGAGTGACATCTGATCCAGCAGGGACAGAACAGCGGTTTGTCGTGGACCATGTGTGTGATGTGATGTGATGTGATATGTGACTGCTGGAGCAGGAAGTGAATGTAGTTTCCTTACAGTTCATCAGGACCTGATGATGTTGGATGACTTATTAACAATGTTATAGAGTTTTCACTGTCGGACCTGCTGCACCAGACTGTTCTGGATGTTCTAAGGATGCTTTCGGTCACTGCTGTGTAGAAGTGGAGCAGGTGGTGATATCTAATCTAAAACTGACCTTATCAATAGGCAGCAGGTAGAAATCCTGCACCTCTCCATCCCCCACTTTGGGCTTGAACTCGAGAGGAAGCTCCAAGTCAAAGACAAACTGACTTTCAGCGAACACCCCCTCCTCATCCTCGTAGGTGTAGCTAGAAAATACATTGAAGTGGTTAGTTATGGAATTTAAAGAGGTTTGCTTTTTACATGTCGGAGGCACTGCACAGACAGAGGTGGTAGTAGATGAAAACTGCTGAGTAATAAGAGTGAGAACAGTGAAGGCGGGTATTTTGACGAGTGTCCTTAACAAGCTGTACCAAGATTCTGGTGTGGCGTGCCATTAAAACAACAGACCTCTCTTAATAGTAACTCACATTTGTCTGACAAAATTTCCAATTTGGAATTTAAACCATTGTCATGTTATTCTGTTTTTTTATTTTCACCAAATCATTTGAATAGACCCAAACCAACAAGGTGTCAGTTCACTTTCTCAGCCTGTTCCTCTGTCTGTGGCTCTGAGCTCATTGGTTCCTACTTTATCTTTAAAAACACCTCACAAATATATATTCTCAGTAACTTCCTTAAACCGTTTCTCAATCAGGAGGAAATAGAGCATTTGTTGGGGACTATTTTCTGCAGCAGATTAATGCACATTTAGTTCCGCAGTGAATATTTTGGGGCAGCAGGACGGCGTGTGTGTGGGAACGAGTCAAAATAAACTACAATGTGTGTGTTCATGGTGATGAAGGAACATGTCAGCCAATGGAGCTCTATGGCTCAGAGGAATAAAACAATAATATGACAATAAAGATCATTCTATTCTATTGTTGGTTTGGGTGTTTTCATCTGATTTATTGACCAAACTTCTGCTCCTCCTCTTTTTTTTTTAGAGGTGTGGTGGCACCAAACTCACCTTACTGTGGTTACAGGATGAGCCTTCTCAGCAATGGCTGCTGGGATACATGCTTCCTCCTGACATTCTTTTACTAGAGTGTGTTTGATGCCAACGCCAGCAGCCAGACCACCTGCTGCCTTCAGAGACACAACACTTTAGCCTCCTTCATTCACTCTTGGAGCTCTGAATTCACATTGATTATCACTGTTCCCTGTCAGGTGTGATTCGTACTCACCACATTGTCCAGTAGTCCGGGGTATGTCTGCTTGTGTGGGGAGCGTCGTGCCAGCCACATGCTGACTTCCCCACTGTCACTGACAGTGTATCCATTGATATGGACTCCGTACCGCTTCACCCCAAACAGACCTGTAGTGCAGCATGACAGTCGGCTCATACAACACTGACACTGAGAGAACATCACATCGCACTGCTATGGTGTGTCAGGACTTACAGGTAGCTGCTCTTTCCATCCACATCAGAGGAGGGTCGGAGAATTTAGGCATCACACTGTACTTCTGAAAGAGGAGAGGCCTTCACATTTACTCTGATAAATGTGACGTTATTGACATGTACATGGACTGTTTTTTTAATTTTGCTTTTCTAATTTTTACGAACCAAGGTCTGATCCAGTGTATCAGATGGGAGAGAGTATCATCACAATCACCAGTGTCAAAAGTCAGTAGTTAAGAAAGAGCACAAGCGTTCATTCTCTTGGGAGCATGAATGTTCACAATGACTCTTAATGGAAATGGAATTTATAGCAACCTCCCATCAGACTGAGTATTTCTCCTGGACAGATGAACGTGTGGCTTTATGAATGAAATGAACAATGTTGGGGAAGCTACTTTAAAAATGTAGCTTTGCAAGCTACCAATTACTTCTCACTGGAAGAAGTTGAACTGCAGCAAAGGTACCCGAGAGAGAAATCTGGTTTAGTTAACTAAAGCTACTTAGAGTTAGTAGTTCAAGCTACTACAATGATCAAATTGACAATGCACATGTGATATGAATTTTTACAGTTCACAGTTTATTGCAAACCTGTCTACTTGTTCACAGGTTATACATAAACCGTAAAAATGTAGTTCACTACTCCCCAACACTGGTAATAAAATCATTAAGTCAAGTCATCCACTGAGGACCCTGAATGTCCCTTTAACTTGATACAGAAATTTGAATTGGCTGGACACAAATCAAATTGAAATTGGCTTTAAATCAAAAGATCAATAACATATGAGCTGGACTGTGAAATGGGCATAGTACCCCTGGGCCCAAAGAGTTCACTGATTTTTTTTAGTAATTTAATGAATTGCACATATGTTAGACATTTTCCACCGCTTTAATAATCAACCACAGTGGGTTCTGCATTATTATTTAATCTTGTGATATAATAATACCTGCATCAGCCGAGCTACCACAGGTGTGTGTCTCACCTCATCTCTCCACCCCCTCAGGCAGGTCAGAGAGCTGTCCTGTCTGAGAGTTTGCAGGACAGCGTCCACAGCCTCAGACCTCTTCCCGTACGAGTCCAGACTGCGACACAGAGACACAGCGCCACCTTGCGGAGGACTGAACACCTCCGGATACCGAGTCAACAGCGAAGCTACGTCAGGAGGAATCCAGCCAACCTGCGCCCCGTCTATCTCGAACCTGTAGCAGGCAGCACGACCGGAGCCTGCGGGGACAAGGTGGAGGTGGTCAGTGGAAACCGTCTACTGACTACATGTTGTACTTTCACACAGTGTCACTGCTCTACCTGGTAAATAAAAGTTGTTCATTCGGCGGAGCAGAGCGAGTATTTTCTCTGACCAGGCAGAGTTCGCCATTTTAAATTACAGTCCGTCAGTAAACCGCCTCCCAAGCACCTGAAGTCAATGTGTTGGAGTCCAGCTAAAATTACTAATATCACACAGTTGAGTATCTTTACTATTATTCAGACTGACTGAACGCCATGAATTCCTGTGTTGATGCGCATGTCCTCCACTTCTTCTTCGTGGCTGCTCAAGCTGCTCCTCAGGGATATTTCTCCCTGAGATTAGTTTGACAGGCAGTGCTGTCGCTAAACTCTTGATTCCTTTTGATGATACAGGAGAAATTGGAGTATTATCAGTAGGGACTCTGGCAACATCATGCTAAAGCTTATTTATGATTAAATATTAATGAGGTAATATTCTTCGGTGTAAATGTTCAATAAAGTCAATCCATTGTACAACTGATAAAGCAATACATTGAAAAAGAAATGAATTAAACATAAACATATTTTCCCTATTTAAGAATCAGTAGATTTGAAGGGTTCAAATTGTACCTCTAACTCTTCATGCCTTAAAAGACAACCATGGTAACTGAGCACTGAACCATTTAGAATAATATTATTATCAAACCAAATGGAAAATCCCAAACACTTTTGTTCCTTGAAATTATGTCTTCCCATATAGAAATGTAGTATATGACATATATGACCCTATATCGATAGTGATGTTGCCATGTATATGTCACCAACAAGGACATATATTATTATCACATATCTACGTCCTGTGGATGCGAGACATTCTCACACTCCAGACCAGTTGGTGGCGATAATGCACTAATTCGTATTTTGCAAACCACAAATAAACCACGAAGAAGAAGAAAGGAGACGACGGAGAAGAAGAAGAAGAGGAGGAGGAGGAAGAAGCAACGATAAAGTACTCCAGTGTTGTGAAGATGAGATTAGATGTTTTCCGTGAACTGTCTCCAAAGTCTTTAAGAGTCACAACTTGGCAGAGATACTGTAATAAAGTTAAGTTATAAAGGAGACACCTGCCAGCTCAATGGATCTACTGCAGCCCCCTGCTTTTAGCTAGCTGGCTGAATAGGTGTAAACAAAGCTAGCTAGCCACCATCCGGTCAGGCTAACGGTCACACAGCCTCACTGTTTCACCACAAGACGAAGCGACATTTATTAAATAACGCCTGGTTTAACGAAGAAGAATTGATAAGGTAAGACTCATTCAACATCTCTATTGCCTCCTGCCTGCTCCTCATCACCACGTCCTGTTCAGTGTTAGCTCAATGAGAGGATAAACCAAACTTCACTCAAAACTCTCACAAGTTTAAATTGCTCTTCATGTAGAACAACATATTTGAAGCTACCGCGATTTTAGTGCTAATGATATATATTAATATAGTACATATAACTAGCGTGGGTATGTTTTAAGTTTAAAATCCATCTCTTTACCAACAGCTGTTATTACTCGTTACTCAAGTATGAATAGGGCGTTTTTTAGACCCCCAGTAGTTTCCATTTGCCTTTTGATTTGTCAATGTTTGCCTGTTTCTGGAAACTTAATGCTGCCATGAAAACCCCTTTCTTGTAGATACGCAACTTTTTTCAGTATAACATAAATATTAATATCTACTGTATATTCTCTGCTGTCAGACTCTAGGTTGTGAAGCTCCACCTGTCCTCCATGGCGTCATCAGAGGTCAGCATGCAGGAGATGAGTGAGGTTGTCATCGTCACCATACCAGAGAGTGTGGGCGAGGACCTGCCCTCTGTGGAGGAGGAGGACAAAACAGTGCTGATGACTGCAGAGCTGACCCCTCAGCCAGGGTAAGGTGTACACACTGCGCACACACACACACAGCTGAGTGGTCATCGGCACACACTCACTGAATTTCTGAGGAGACTGTCCTGTCGTTCAGTTTGCTAAATTGAAACTTAAACACTTTGTGTTATTTTTCCAGGGAGGATGTCCTCACAGTAGCACCAATGGAAGCACAAGCTGAGGCCAGCAGCTCAGATTCACTGTCAAAGGAAGAGGCAGTCATTGGTAATGTGACCTGCAAGACTTTATTAGACGTTGTAAAATGTGGCAGTTAAATAGATTGCATCATCCCCCACCCTCCCCCAGCTCCTCTAGCTCCTCCTGTCCACATGTCAAAGTGTCCTCAGCAAGACACTGAACCTCGAAATCGATGGTAGCTTGCTGCCATCAGTGTGAGTGAGAAGCTGTAAAAGCTGTATGCTTCAGGCAGTGTAGTAAGTGAAGCATTTCTCACAGACATGAGTCACAAAGTGCAAAAACATAGAAAACAAATAACAAAGGAATACAATACAGTATCCAGTACAGCACATAGAACAGACACAGTATGCACAGATTACCCAAAAGCCAGTTTAAACAGATGAGTCTTAAGCTGCTTTATAAATGACTTCTATCTCTGTAGTGAAGTTAACAGAGGAGGTGGACGTGGAGGCTGATGTCCTCTACCCGATCACGTGTGGAGACGCCAAAGCTACACTCGTCTGGAAGAAGTTTGTCTGCCCTGGGATTAATGTGAAGTGTGTCCAGGTATTGACGCAGCACAGCCTGTATAATATCTGATTTCTGAGCACATGAAATGGGATGTAGGTGAAGCTTAGGATGAAGTGGATCATTAATGGCTAACAACTGTTTCTGTTCCTCTCTGATAAGTTCAAAGAGCAGCTGATCAGCCCAAAGGAGTTTGTGTGCTTAGCAGGGAAATCCACTCTGAAGGACTGGAAGAGAGCCATCCGCCTCAACGGCACCATGCTCAGGTCTGGATTAATACACCAACAGTGAATTTTATGTGCGCCGTAAATGTTAAAGATATACACTGACATATATTGTTGTAATTAATTGTAGTAGTATAGTAATAATGTCAGTTACAAATAAACATCTGTCTAAATTTTCAAACATGAGGCTCAAAAAGCAAAAAGTATCTGAGGTTAATGGTTACGATCCACAGGCAATGTGTAACAAAATAGAAATGACTAGTGTGGGCTGTTTAACTGTCTTTTTTTCATTTTTGTCATAGAAATAAAACCCATTTGGTTCATTTAGTGTGTCAGCTGTAACATCCACGTTCATAAAATAAAAACCTCTACTTTGTAAAATACTAGTATATTAGTAATACTAAATATTTAGCCGGATGCTACAGTTATATTTATTCAAAGTGTCTCCGTGCAGCAGCAGAGGAGAGTTGACCAACGATGATGATGGCGGAGGATTTGGTGTCAAAGACAGACAAACATCAACATGGTTGTGTAGATGACTTGTGTGTCAGTAGCTTTCAGTGGCTTTCAGTCTCCTTTCAGTGGCTGATGTGCAGTTGACAGATACACCTCAGGGTGGCACTGTTCTATCACACATGGTTGTCAGTAAAGAGAGGTTGTGTATCCAGATGTTGTGTATCCAGATGTTGTGTATCACGTCTCGTCATATTTCACTTCACAGGAAGATCATGGACTCAGGTGAACTGGACTTCTACCAGCACACAAAGGTCTGCTCCAACACCTGCCGCAGCACTAAGATAGACCTGGTGGGAACTAAAGTGTCCATCAGCAGTGACCAGTCATCTGACCTGGTCCCCGCCACGCCTTCATCAGCTGACTGTAAGTCACGCAGCCTCAGCCATCGCACCAGTTCAGTTGCTTGAATGAGGGTCACACTGGTGCGATTGGTGATATACAGGTGTAGTATTAGAGCCGTCCCCTGAACATTAATGACTCACATCATTAGTTGAGGAGAGGAAACTTAGATTCTCACATTTAAAGGACAAAGCCAAAACATTTAACATTAAATTTGTCATTTAAGAACTAAAGTTTGAATAATTCAACGATTCAATGCAGAACTCAGTTTGCTGAAAGCTTTAACAATGTGGGAGAAAATATCACTACAGCATTACAAATAATACAATATATTGCCCCAGTGCATGCTGGGTGGCATCCTGATACACCTGCATCATGTAACTTAAATCACGTGATCGGCCCTGAGCCAGTCATATGAATGCCCATCTTGGTTTCAACTCTCTACCCATTTAACCTGATAACAACATGTGACTCAGGATTAGTTAAGAACAGGACCAGGCAGAGTGAACCAAGTCTCAGTGTGACCCAGGACAAATACAGGAACTCCTTTGAGTGATGTGGTTCAGTGAGAGTTGCTGTGTTGTTTTCTGTTCGTGTTGCAGTGAACGGAGCCGCAACCTCGTTCCCTGAGGCGATTGAGGAAACTTCAGAGTGGGTCACAGCCATCGGAGGTGATCACCAACCTACACACACACACACACACACACACACACACACACACACACAATGTCATGTGAAATGAACTGAGTAAATGGAAGGTTTTACTCTTTATGATGTGTGTGTGTGTGTGTGTGTGTGTGTGTGTGTGTGTGTGTGTGTGTGTGCGCTCAGAGGACTCGGTGGTGTTCTGGCGTGCAGTGAAGGAGGCGGGGCTGCTGGAGGAGGTGGTGGAGGACTTCCAGAACCAGCTGCAGGAGGTGCTGAAGGGGCTGCAGGAGAGAGTGTGTGACCCTCCTCTACAGGTCAAAGGTTAGAGCCGCACACAGTCGGGCTTGGTGAAGTACAAAAAACACAGACATCATGAACTGCCTTAAAATGCAAGAACACTCTTTGTGGGTTTCTCACCTGCTGCTGCACTGATGAGTTAATAAGATATTCTCCTGTTGAAGTCTTAATTAACGACCAGGAAGGTAGAGGTGTAAATAATAAGATTAACGAGTCCCAGTAGCTGTGTCTTTGAGTGAGCATTAAAATAGCGGAGCCCTTGAACTGGCTGAACTAAATGGAACGCAGCCATCATTGATTAGTAATTGCACCTGTCAACATGTCTGCTGTGAACAGCCTCTGTTTGAAAGTTCCTGTTAGGTCACATGCTGAATGTAATGAGCAGTAGAACTCCCTACACCTGGACACAGGGTTGATGTATAAAACCAGTAGATTTGTTTAACATGTGTGTGTCTGTGTCCCATTGAACATGAAGTGTGGTTTGTTTTTGCAGATGCAGTTTTGCTCAACAATATCGTGCAGAACTTTGGGATGTTGGACCTGGTGAAGAAGGTTCTGGCCAGTCACAAGAGTCAGATGGACCGTTACAGAGAGCAGTACACCCGCAGCCTCGCTGGTCAGTACGACAGTCTTCATCAGAGTTCCCACACTCAGGATAGAATCACATTGAGGCCTGACACCTCTCTGTGTGTGTGTGTGTGTGTGTGTGTGTGTGTGTGTGTTTGTGTGTGTGTGTGTGTGTGCGTGTGTGTGTGTGTGTGTGTGTGTGTGTGTGTGTGTGTGTGTGTGTGTATATATATAAACATCATGGTGTGTGACTGCACTTACTGATGATCTGTTCTTCTGCAGCTCTGGAGCAGCAGTGTGATGAGCACAGGAAGCGAGCCAAAGAGTTGAAGAGCAAATCCCAGCACCTCAACAACGTCCTGATGACCCTGACCCCGGTCCCTGCGCCCCCTGCACCCAAACGGCCCCGGCTGACCCGCACCGTCTCCGGCCCGGCCACGGTCAGCGCTGCTCCCACCCAGATCACTCTGCCTCTCAACCAGCTGACTGGCCTGCCGCTGGGCAAGGTGCTGACCGTGGCAGGAGCCCCGGCCGGCACCAACCTGGGGAGCTACACCCTCCTGACCTCTGCGCTCTCCGGGTCAGAGCTGGTGGCTGACTCCTCTAACCTGACTGTGCTGTCCACAGCAGCAGGTCAGGAGGGCGCGGCCGGTGCTGGCGGCTCCGCGGCCTCCACGGCCTTCGTTAAGGTGGTCGGTTCTCAGTTCCAGCTGGTGACGCTACCTGCAGGGCTGCAGGGCTTGGCTACCACACAGAGCGCCGCCGTCCAACATCAGGTAGGCAGCATCAGCGTGGTGGACGCCACGGCAACCATTGATGATTCACAAGAAAAACACCAGGCTGATGGTGATGATGAAGGTCAGCCAGAGGAGGTTAAAGAGGAAGACGGGGAGCAGTCAGCTGAGCAGCAGTGAGACAAAGGACAGCTGGTCCCTCCCCGTCTCCTGAACGTTTCCTGTGATGGCCGAGGCCTCGTCCACGTTTTGACTCTGCTCATCATTTCATCACGTTTATTTGTCATGTAACACAAGAGCCTTCCTCTTAGATGTCCTCACACTTCGCAGATAGCCACATTTCTATTAGAGTGGTGTCTGGTGTCGGAGTGTGTCTCACTAGTGGTTTTATTGTAAATACGTATTTGTACCTAATATATTTGATACAGTGGTGAAGGTTTGTTCCATGTGGAGCTTTGCTCAGTCTGCAAATAAAAGCTCAGTTTTTGAGAACAAAGAGTGAATGGTTACATGTTGGAGAAAAAGAAAAATCTTAACTCAAGGTCCACTTACTGGAACCTTCAGTTGCACCTCACTATCTTCATCAGATGGAGTTTGCTCAGTTGTCATGGAAGCATGTCGGCTGTCGTCACATGACCGTTAGCAGAATAATGAAGCACTGATTTACACTAAATGTTTTCCCTTCAGAGAGTTGACATTGACCATCAAACAAATGTCGGTGTCAACGTTTCCATGAACAAAGTTTATCAGATAAATCAGTGGAGACGTACTGACGTGTAATTTCAGTTAACACATTGCTTCAGTCCTGTGTATCTTCAAATACCACACAAATTAGCAGTTAATCAAATTAACATTTTCTAATTGCCACACAGTGAAGCTGCGGCCTTCCCCGCCTCTGAGTGTTTGGTCAGTCAAGTGAGTTTTGGACGGAGTAAGAGCAAACGTGACTTTTTTTTTTGGCCACAAGATGGCGCAGTGAGATTAATGTTGAGTGACTCTCATTGGTCAGACTTCATCTGGCCTGTTAGATACTTCAGGTTTGTGTGTCTGTTGTGTTGAACAGGATCTGTCCTTGTGAAAAAGTGTCATTCTTATGAGGACAATGTCAACAACCAAAGATAATATTCCTTTAAATGATTCCGACAGTGAAGGATTAGACTTGTGTTATTTGGTTGATTATTTGCCGGTCCGACCTTTTTGTCATTTTAATATTCTACCTCAAACTCACTTAAGATAAAAAAACAACAACAAATATTTGACAGTTATAGAATAAGAAAAATTCTGGATGAATGTGTCACAGATATAAACCTACGGTGCATCTCATTCTGTCTGAGCTCGCTGCACAGAACCGCTCTGGTCTCAATCTCAGGCTACAATCAGAATCTGAACCAAATAGAATAAAAGAGTAAAATGTATGTGAAGAGCCGTTCAGTGATCACGATGTTTAAATAAATTCAGCACTGTCATGTCAGTCGATGGGAAAGAAAATGTAAGATTGAGTTTGACACGCTGACACTAAAATCAGTCATTTTTCCTCTCAACTTTCGGACAAACAGGAAGTGATTTTATTCATGTTTTTATTAAACAAGCATCCTTTATTGAAAGACAGACGGTGACGCCATCAACACACAGATGAGTCGTTACACAGAAGGCAACTGAGTAGGCTACAAGCAGATCGGCAGGCATATGATACTTTCTGGATAAATGTTGGCATTTCAAGTGAACCAGTTCCCTCTAGTTCCTCTGCCTCGGCAGGGTTCGTCTATAGGCTCAGGTCGTCGTAGGAGTAATACGGCTCCTCCACTGAGCGCACAGAGATTTTGAAGTGGCGGCGCAGAAAGCCTCCGTACCGCTTGTCCCACTTCAGGTTGTTCAACTTTGGTCGGATCCTCCTCATGAAGCCCCCGTAGCGCTTCTGCAGCTCCTCGGGCTCCTGGCTCTCCTGCTCCGCCGAGCTACTCCTCTTTGACTTGGGGCCGAATTTGCGTAAAAAGCCGCCGTAACGTTTAACATAACTGTGGAGCGCCTGATCCTCCGGAGCCTCGTCTGCGTCCTCCGGCGCGTCTGCGTCTCTCTCCTCCAGCCTCTTCAGCAAGTCCTCGTATTTCTTGGGCAGCGCTCCGGCTTTTAGGATGTAATTTTCGCGCCAAGGCGAGGTGAAGATTTTGTTCTTGTTCTTGTCGATCCTCTTGATGAAGCCGCCGTAGCGTTTCACCAGGTCTGCGTGCTGGCTCTCCTCCTCCTCCGAAGCTTCATCCTGGCTGAAGTCCGCCAGCCCCGGAGCCTGGCCGCAGCTCTGCAGTTGCGCCTCACACTCCGCACCGCAGGACTGCAGGACACAGAGAGAGAGAGAGGAGAGTGAGACCAACCGACACCTCAACACAGAGAGGTGGTGCATCAGTCAGCGGTACACTTGCGTTTGTTTAAATTAATTTCTAATGGTTTGACGTCAGTTTGAGCCAATTACACCACTTTTCATTCCGCTTCTCCTTCAGTGGCTTTGAAGTGTCACCATCACACCAGCTGCGTCTCTTCAGCTTTATCGGTCTGTGAGTGAAAGATTCAAACCTATATGTCATGTTTTTACTCATCACATATTCTACATGTAGCCTCTTATACATTTACTCAATATTCAATATGTAGGGGATCAAAGTTTTAATAAAATAAATGAAAAGAAAATGAAAGTTCTTTTGGATTATTGTGATCACCATGTAGGCAGACGTGAGAGGTCATGCCAGGAGTGGACTTGAGCTCCGTGTGAACTTGGTCTTACCAGGCTGCTGAACGCGCCGTCGGAGCTGAGGATTTGCTGCGCACATTTCTGGCACTGTGAAGAGCAATCTGTGTGGATGGAGGGCGGCAAGCTCAGCATCAGCACCAGGACATACCACTCCATTCTTCACCAGATCCCTGACACATACAAAAAACACACACATACGCACATAAACAAAAACAACGCAGACAGAGTCGGTGAGTCTGGATTAGATGAGGGTCAGAGTTGGACCGCTCTGTTTTAAGGATTCACGCTCTAGAGATTCATGGAACAACTCGACCTGCACTAATGTAAATGATTTTAAATGATCATTTAAATCAGACTGCTTTAAAAACAACACACATCTGTTTCCTCGCGTGGACCTGTGCACTGTGCGTAATGACGCATTGGCACCAAGTCTTTCTGTCATCACTTCGTTATTTAAACGGAGCAGAGAAACATCACATGTGGAGTAAGTCAGACTTTCACAAAGACAATGAAGAGACAAGTGTAGAGTCGGTACCTCAGGAGTTTGACAGATACTTCCAGCCGTGTAAAGACTCGCAGAGGCGCATCTACCATCAAATGGAAACTCGCAGTCCGCTCTCCAACACTTTCCCCCTGCGCGGTTCGTCGCTCTTCTTTTATCGCCGCAGACTCGTCTGTGTCACCGCGGCGCATCAGAGCGGCTTCTGTTCACGGACCAATGGGAGGGAAACGTGCTGCGTAAATAACCCTCCCGCTTCAGGGGCTTTAACAACGCCCACACACAGAGGGTGTAGAAGAGGCAGCGCAGCTCATCACCATCACCATCACCATCATCATCACCATCATCACCATCATCACCATCATCATCATCAAAGAAAAATCACTTTGACCGCCTGGATCAAACCCTGCAAATCACACAATGAACAAAGTGTTTTCTTCTACAAGAGAGAAAGAAAAATCACTTTGACCCAAACAAACATGATGCATCACACTTCATCTAAACGTCCAGTCGGTGTGGTGTCTGCAGGGGTGGCCAAAGTATTTTTAGGACCCTCACCTCTCACCTGGAGCAGCCACCCCAGACCAAAACCAGACGCTGCTAAACTGATCCAAATATCAATCTGTCTGTACCATCATTTCTCCCAACACCAGCTTTAGTGTCAGAGTTTTGCTGATTGGATATTTCTTGAGGTTTAGTTGTTTTTGTTTTTGTTTTTTTACCACTTGAGTAGAACAAGCTAATTATCACCTCATCAGTGTTCATGGCTAACGAGTTAGAAAGAATTCAGAGTGAAGCAGAACGGTAAAGTTACGGGCTGCGAAACCAAAATAATGAATCTGCAGGTTGTGGAGCAACATTTGAATCAATTGATTTGATTTTTCAAGAGAAAATAAATGTGAAAACTACAAAAAACAAATGTTTTCAATCAGTCACTGAGAATTTCTTTATATGTCCGCCCCTCCCCCGCCTCGCAGCAGACCTACACCCACCGTCTGTCATCCTTACATTCATGTGGTCCCTGCAGTCGGTGGGCCTACATGCTTCCAGGTTGCTTTATGAGCTAAGACTTGTACAGTGGAAGGACCCGAAGAAATGATCGACACACGATGATTCAGCCTCAGCACATTTCAAGGTTGAAGCCTTAAGAGTCTCATGTTTGGACCAAGGTTGTACTCTGGGTCTTCTTCCGCTTGTTTAGGGGAGGAATGACGAGAAACCTTGGGCGGACTGAAGCAATAACATAGAACACACAGTCTTTACACTCCGGTATGAGTCTTTCACCTGGATGGAATCTGAATTTCTTTTTCCTAAATAACTGACTGAAGTGGACTCTGGGTTTGCTGATGTGGTTTATTATGGGTATCTGATTCTATTTGCACATTTGGTTTCATTTCAGATACGTGTTTTCAGATACGTGTTCACATTCATCACTTAAAGATAAAAACGAATCTATGTAACTACCATGACAACTGTGTCATCACTTACTGTGTCTGTGCTAAGTTCCTCTGTTTGTAGAAGGTGCTGCTCCGCTGTACCCAGAGGGCTGACACCTTCTAAAATTAAAATATATCTTTTCAACACAAACAACTCTCGCTCAGCCCAAATGTGATTTTCACACACTAGTGATGGAGCTTAAACACGAGGGTTTAGTCACAGTCTGTCATTCTGTCCAGCTCCACGGTTACTAGCCAGAAATCAGCTGTGGATGTTCTTGGTCACCAGTAGATCAATCCTAAGGTTTTTCTGATCTTTCCCTCTCCCACCACCACAAGACACATTTCCATTTTTATTAAAGACAAACAAAATATAATAATTGATATATCAAAATATAATAGAAAGATTGTCACCAAAGTTACTGAACTCACACTACACAGAGGATGAACCCTTTCCATTTTACTTCTTCTCTTTCTCTGTTTAGTATGATACTGTTATTGTACCGTGCTGGTGCTGTGTGGTGCTTTCTATCTACAGACGGGAAAATTATGGTTTGTGAAATTTGTTTTACAGGTTTACAGTAGTTGAACTCAGTTTTTAAAACTCCACGCAAATATGTTTTTAAAACTCTTTATTTCTACAGTCTGCAGGTCACTAACAGGCGAACCACGGTCCGGATCCAAACCCAGACACTGTCCTATCTGGACCTGGACCTATAACCCATAGACGCCGTGGGTACTTCCGGGCCCGAGCACCAACGGAAAATGCCGAGCAACCACGTGCGAAAGCGTAAAATAGCGGCCAGATTTATTTGATAACAAACTCCAGGTTGGTGTTAGGTTGCATCGGCAGCAGGGACTAAGCTGCTGTGAGTCGCTGTCAGGCCTCTGCCCCTACCTGTTACCACCAATCACAGAGCCGATTGATCCGATCGATCCAATCTAGCATCGCGTGCACGGCCTAGCGCGGTCAAACGAAGCGCCAACGTAGGACAAAGCTGGCTAAAAAACTTGCTTTGACCAGAGACTTTGCTTCAACAAGATGAACAAACTTGTGATCAGAAATCCAAAAACACCAAGAGAAACTCAGTAACGACAGTAACGAAGATAACGACAACCGCAGCAAAAGAAGGGACGGACTTTTTAAGCTAGCTGGAAGATAACATTTCCTTGGATGGCCTATGACACCACAAAAAACAAGGCATTTCACAGGCAGCACAGCTAAAGAAAATGAATGCCACGCTTCCATCAACACACACAGGGATGTATCAGGAAATAGGAAACCTGGATGTAATCGCAGATTAATACATGAAGCGCGCGGCGGCAAGGAGCAAAACTTTCCTCATGAGAACATAAAATCATTGGTGAGTAAAAACAAATCAAATTTTCATATTTAGTAACCACGTGGGACTGTGTGTTGACGGTGAACTACCTGTACTTTACTGTGTGGGAAGATGTGAGATTGAGTTAACAAAAAAGAAGAAAAAGGGGAAACTCATGCAACAGTTTTTATTCCTGAGGCACATTGGTCCTTCTGGACCAAAGTTTCGTACCGTAGCTTGAGGAGATTTTGTCAGACTTTACACAGCTCCCTCTTATTTTACATATGCAAGAGTACTACTCCAAGACCAGACCCTGAACACACCGAGACCAGACCCTGATCACACCGAGACCAGACCCTGAACACACCGAGACCAGACCCTGATCACACCGAGACCAGACCCTGAACACATTGACAGCAGAGCTCTGTGCAGAACCAGATAACATCTGAGCCCACAGACTAATTCCCATTGATCTGTAATGGAATTATATCATAGACCATAATAGTTACTATGGTTACCATGGCTTACTTTTTCACCTGCATTTGCCCAGCTGTACTTTTTGGGAGTTTTTTCTGGATTTTCTTTCTTTGCCTTTTTTAAACCTGATACAAAGATGTAGCTGTTCTTTTTTTTTTCTACCATCATGTCATCCTGACTGAGAAGTTGTAGCTGAACAGACTGGACTGTAGATTCCTTGTAAATAGTTGTGGTTCGCCCGTGAGGAATAATGGTCATATAGAGCAAAAATGGGAGGTAGAAGAACCCATAGTTAGAAGTACACCAAATTTAAAATGCTGTCTCCACTAGGAGCCACAGCAGGATTAATATGATTAAACAGCAGTGGTCCCTGTTGATCCCATGTTTGTGATCAACTGGTTACACAAAGTTTTATTTAGAAATAAACACCATGTACATTTTGTTATATGCATGAAACCTGAAGCAGGTTCAAGTACAAGAGGTCTGAGCGCTGCCAAAACACAGGTGACCTGTACTCAGTGCTGTGCTGCTACCTCGCTGCTCATGCTGCACCTCCTGTGTTGACATGGAGTCAGCGCTCGCAGCATTTCCAGCAGCAGCAGACAACGCTCTGATAAACCCACTGTCCACCGCCTGCTCAGCACCAAGGGGGCGTTTTATGGCTTGATTATCAAGTCAACAGTAGAGAACTGACAGTAAATGAGGGGAACGAGATGAGGGACGCTATAAAGACAACGGTCCCCAGCCAGACTCGAACCTCTGATGTTACAGTGCAGCAAAAATACAAAGTTAACAAAAGGATAATGCACACAACACAAAACTGTCCTTTAAATATGTATATATATATATATATATATATCAGTCAGACCATCAGTGACATGGGGAAATATTTAAATCACTCCACTTTTTGCAGACTTTATTATTTTGTAGATGTAACTGTAACTTGCTGAAAACACTCTACACTCAATAATCTTTTTAGAAATATTTTGCAAATGTATTAACAACTGAAAACAAATCTCTCATTTGTTCAAGTAATCAGATCCTTAACTCAGGACATTGTAGAAGCCTCTTTAGCAGCAGTTACAGCTTCCAGTCTACAAACTCTGAACAGCTGGATTTGAGCAGTTCATCCCATTCGTCCTGTCAGATCCTCTCAAGCTCCGTCACATTGGATGTGAAGCATCTGTGAACTGCCGTCTCTCCACGAGATGTTCTATTGGGTTTAAGTCTGGGCTTTGGCGGGTCCACAAGGTCAGTTAGAGACTTGCCCTTAAGTGGCCCAGTGTTGCTGTTTGCTTCAGCTCAGTGTCGAGCTTGAAGGGCGAATCGTCACCAAAGTCTCAGGTCACATGAACTCTGGATCCAGTGTTTGGATCAGAGAGTCTTGTTCCTCCTGCTCTCAGAGTCTTTAAATGCTGTTAGTCAAACTCCAGCAGTCTCTTCCTCAGTGTCTTCTGTCTAGTCTCTCTACCAGAAAGACCTGATTGATGGAGAGCAGCTGAGATCGTCCAGCAGGTTCTCATATCTCTGCAGAGGACTTCTGAACCTCTAGAGGAGTTCACGGTCTCCTCCCTGACCGAGGCCCTTCTTGCCTGGTTACTCAGTTTTACTGGACGGCCAACTCTAGGAAGAGTCCTGGTCTGAACCGTCTGTGCTTCCTAACTCTCAAAGCTTTTGGAATGGTTGATTATGATGAAGAGGCTCCGTTGGATGTTATTCATATTTTCTGAGTTCCTCTCTGAGGGTTCAAGTGTCAAGTGTTTGAGTGTCACATTATTCTAACCTTCAAATGATTGATGTATTAGTCAAACTAGACTTCATGCATCGTCTGTCATCTTCACTGCTACTGTTAGCAACACACCCACATGAGTTGTTTTTAAAGGCAGTGCTATTTTTGGCCTAA